AACAGCCTTTTAATCTTTTGTTTTAATTCCTTGATGACTAGAAGGTTGCAGTATTATTCTACCGCTGCATCACTAGGTGTGCGGAGGGGATCCAGACGTATTACAAGGCTCTCCAGTTGTATGCGTGGACATGCAATGTTGTTGCTCGTGCTAGCGACGATTCTCTGTGCTCCGAGTTTCTTGTTGAGGTTCTTTTTTGTAGCGTGTGACGGTGTCACAGGCTAATGTTCCTATTTTGTTCTCTACAGTGGTAGTTCTCTAGTAGTGTCGATGGCTACTAGTTTCTGTTTTGTCTGCACTTTAGTTCAAGTAACGGCCTTGTATTTTTCCAGTATTAGTGCATAATTTTTTTCTTCCTTTGGTGATTCTATTAGAAGGCTGGGATCTGAAGCTCCATGCTTACTAGTCGAGGTGGCACTACTTGTTACTGTTGTTCAATTGCAAAAGCGGATGCACATGTAGAGATGGTTTAGTCTCTGCAATTGCTGGAAAAGGAAGTCATCTTGCCGTCGTTGTCGCTTATTACGACCAAGCTATTGCACAGCATATTCTTCCATCCTCTTCCATTCATCAGCCCCTTATTCACATAAATTCTTTTGTTATTTTATTATCATATCTAGAATTCTCCAAAAGAGATAAGTTTGATCAAATCAACTTGTTTCTTGTGTTCCTCAAGCTAGCTAGCATTTCAGCTATCAATTCTTAAAATGCCTTACATTCATTTAATTACCAAGAACAGAGCAAAGATGGCTAAGAATTTTGGATGAATTAATAATAGAAATTGGGCATGATTACTTAGATGTAAGAGAAGATTAAAGAATGATTTAATTAGGATTTAATTAAAAGCTACAACCTATGAAACTTGTATAGTTAACTCACTTGTTGTGATTTGGAATAAACTTCTAACTAATAGAGGTTTATTTTAATTCATAATATCATATCATTTGAATGGATATGTCAAAGGATTTTTTTTTTCTTTGCTATTAGATAGGCTATGGTTAAAGGATTCTAAAGTCTTAATTAATCAGGGAGGAGAAAAGTCCTACATCACTTTTGGTCCTTAGGAGAACAAAACCAAAATCTCTATACAATATATCTTAGATCATGAAAAAAAATAATTCCATCAATGTTTTAGAAGATAAACATCAACCTAAAATACAAGGCAAAGTAAAAAATGTGGTCAATTTGATTGGCAAAGATTTTAAAAAAATAAAAAACCTAGGTTCCAACCTTTATCATTAGAAGGATTTAACAAGTCAAGAAAATCCAAGTTCTTAGCATTTATATAAATGGGACCTTAAAAGTTACCTCTTCAATTTTAAAACACTTCATCAAAAATAACAATTGGCAATGGAATTATTAACTATCCTCCCGTATCTTATAATTCATATAAAAACTCTTCTAATACATTTTGAGTACAAGAATCTAAATGGAAACTCATAGATGTATCGTACAAAGGAGAAGAATCCAAAAACTTTAAAATTAGAGCTCATTTAAATCAAGAAGAGATTTCTAGATATTATGATTTGATCATGAAATATTTAGATTTTCTAATCTAATCATACAAAGAGTTGAAGGATATACTACTTGAAGACAATTAATACATAAAAAAAATTCAAAGAAGAAAGAAAGTTTTTTTTGATAAAAAAATACAAGAAGAGAGCTCTACAATTTGAAATATAATTATTATTATAAGATGCTCAAAGAATGAATTTCTCTAGCAAATTTGATGTTCTTTAGTTAGGTTCTTTTCTTATTAGGAAAGTCTTTGACAACAACTTCTTGCTATTAGAGACAATAAATGGAGAATTATTTTCAATTAGAACATCTAAGAATAGATTTAAAAAATATAGAATGTAAAAAAATCATCATATAGTGGAAAAAATAATTTTTACTCTTATTATCTCCATTGAGAGAAGCTCTAGCCATATAACCTAGTTAAATTTTATTTTTATTAAGAAAAATTGAATCTTAATTCATTAAAGAGGTAAAAATAATTTTACAAATGGTTTTTGGTTTTACCTAAATATTATCTCTTCTGTAGTGACTTTTAGAAGTAATGCAATATTCTTTAAAAACATACAAAATTAATATTTTTTTAGAATAAAAAAACCTTATATTATATGGTGCCAATAAAATCTAAATATTATATGTAGCTAACTTCACGTCAATTTTTATAATGATTGGATCTATAAGCCAGTAGTAAATGGTAGAAAAATAAATTAGGAATGTTGCATTATTTTTGTAACTCTTTAAATTGGTTGAATTATAAGAATAATTAACCTTAATTTTTGATTAAGAATAATTTAGTACCAAATTACTTACTCATTAACATTCTTGCTTTGCATTCATGAAGTTCTTGGTTGAATCTTTCCTTCCACCATGTTCAAAACTTCCCTACAATTCTTGCATAAGTGATTGCTTTACACATTGAATAATAGAGTTGTCATATAATAGTTAGAATACTAAGAACAAAACCATCAATAATTAATTGCATTATTAAATGTTACAAAGCTATAAAGAAGTTAGAAAATAAGAAAAGGTCAAGACATCTATGCATTTTTAATGAGAGAGGTGGTTTTTACTTGGCATGATTCGTACAAATAGAATAGTAGAATATTGTAATAAAATATCAAAAAAATTCTCAAGAGGTTGTAAATATCATAGCTTTTTCTAATATAATAAGAAGAGTACTAAAGTGCCAAAGACTATATTTTACAATGAGAAAGAAGAAGTCTCTCTTTTTGGAACATTACAAATAATTAAGATATGAATGGACAAAAGAACATAAAGATTGGACAAAAGAGTAGTGGAAGAAAAAAAAAATTCACATGAAAGTAAATTCAATATTGTGAGGTCTGATGGTTAAGAGTGGTGTTAAAAGAGGCCTTGAGAATCCTTAAGCAATTGTATTATTAATAAGACTATGAAGCATGGAAGAAAGAACATTATGGTTTAAGATTGCATGAGTTAGAAAGGCATTAGAAAATTGACCAAAATTGAAAGAAATATGAATAGTGAATGTTATTAGAACATTCTATAACATAGCTTGAGCATATCAATTCTGAAGTTTGGAAAAGATGCAAAGAATTGGATGTTCCAACAAGATAATGGCTCAAAATATATAAATAAGTTAGTAGTTAAATAGTTTAATAATCATACAATCATAGTACTACCATGGAATTCACAATCATCTAACATGAATCCTATAAAACACTTGTAGAATGAAGTGGATAGTGCCTACAATTCCATTAAGTCCTCTCCATTAGCAAGGATGATTTTTGGAAGAAGCTATAAGAAGAATGGAATAACATTGAGGTAGAAGTCATTTAGAACTAGTAAAATCAATATCCAAGAGAGTATAGATATTATTGAAGGCAAAAGAAGGATATACCAAATATTAGTTGAATAGCATAGCATTGATACAAAATGAATAATAATTAAACTATATTTTTTCATATTTTTTGCAATGTTTTCAATGTCATTCAAGACAATTCATGTGTCTCATAATATAATAATACCAAAAGTCCCAAAAGTAATGCAACACCCCAAATTCACATTTTTACCATTTACTATTGGCTTATAGGTTGAATCACTATAAAAATTAATATGAAGATAGCTACATACTTTATTTAAACTATATTGGTATTATGTGATGTAAGATTTTTGTTTCCAAGAAATTTTGAATTTTATATGTTTGCAAAGGGTGTTGCATTACTTTTGGATGTCATTGTATTTACTAGGAGATAATAAATCTTATGCAAAGAAGAAGATTTAAATTTAAATATATATATATATTATTTTATAGAATTAGAGATAACTTGAAGTAGTTTAGCATTCTAAGGTTGTTGTACAGTTGGCTACAAAAGTGGTTATATATGAGATGATCTACATTCAAATCCAGTTCACATGGTGAACTATTTCTATGAACTAGTGTTAGAGTAAGAAAGTGGCTAATCTGTACAATCTAGAAGATATGTAGGCCTCTATGGCTTCTAATCTAATTTCTTCTCTTTAGTGGAAGATATCATTTTACTAACTTTTTGATTTTTTTTTATATCTTAGTAATTTATTCTCTTTCCTTCTCTATTTTTCTATTCTTTTAGTTTTTTTTTTTTTTTTTTTTTTCCTTCTCTAATAGAATTATTTCACCTTGTTATACTAAATAGATTATTTTCTTCAACAATTCTTTTATCTCAAGGGAATTAAAATTACCATGATAGGAGTGAAATTAATACTAATCATGATCTTCTTATGAATATTTTATTTTGGTTCTTTATCACTATTACTTCTAATCTTGATAGAACTTCAAAACTAGAGTGATTAACTTTGAATAAGGATTTGATAAGTAGCATGAGCATTTGGATTCTATGCCTCTTCAAGTTGTTCCCGATGGCTATGGTTCTCTAAGAAGTTTTGAAAGATCCAGTGAACCAACAAGGCTTATAGAATTGACTAATTGAAGGATCATAAGGCAATGAGTCTAGTTTGAAATTAACAATTTTGATAGCAATTCCAAACAGATATAGCAAAAGAATATTGAGAATAACAATTTGTTGCTTGCTAGCACTAAACTCACAGAATTAAGATCTTTGACTTGAAATGGTGTCTCTAAAAAGCATCTCCAAAAAATATCTTTAAGATTCTTATAAATAGAAATAATCTTATATTAGGACTAATTTAGGATTAAATTATGATAAGATGCAATTTAGGATTTTGGATGAATAAAAGGTAGATGAAGTTTAATCAAAGATAAATTAAATAGATGAAAAGTTATTCAAGAATGAAATATTATTCAAAGATGATTTTTTTATTAATGGATGAATTTTGATTAAAATATTATTAATTATTATTAAATTAAAATAAAAAATTAAATAAAAAAAACTAAACTATCTAATTATAAATATAAAAAAAAGTTTTTTTTTATGGCATAAAGTTTTTGAGTGAATTATTATTGTGAGTGTGAATAATGATAAAGGATTTGATTAATAACTTGGGTGTTTTAATTGGGTGTTTTAAGAAGAATAAGGAGTGGTTTGATTAGGATTTAAGAATAATAGCTACAACTTCTTAACTTACATAGTAATTCACTTATGAATTAAAATAAACTTCCAATTAATATTGGTTTATTTTAGCTCAGATGTCTTCCAAGTCCATAGTATATGCCTTGGTCAAAATGATCTTCACATTGTTTGAAGAGCTATTGGGGGCACAAGAGTGGGCGAGAATGCAAGAGTAATGAGTGGTCGTCAACAAATCTCCTGTGTGGAATTCCGTGCCTCTCTACCTTCCTCAATATCCTGCAGCCACAGGTGTCTATGAGCACAATGCTATCCTCCAAAACCTTACCATGGAGATGCACTGCTGCTGCAACCGGAAGACTTGGTGATAGACCCAACTGGAAAGTTTCTGTACGTGAGCAATCGTGATGGTTGGATTAAGAAATACTACCTTTCCACGGCTCAAGTGAGGAATTGGGTGTTTGTCAGGGGGAGGCCGCTGAGACTTGCTCTAGATAATGCCCGTGATGTCCTTGTCTGTGAGCCGATTCAAGGCCAATTGTTGGAGGTGAGCATAATGACCACTCCGACGTGTGGTTTTGATACCAAGTTCACAGATTCTTTGATGAATACTCGATTTGCTTCTTGACGTTCTGTGCGTGTTTGAAATCTGCAGATTAGCAAAAATACGGGTGTCATGGAGATTCTGGCCACTGAAGCAGAAGGGGTTGAATTCGGCATGATCAACGAAGTGATTGTCGCCAAAGATGGGCTAATTTACTTCACAGATTCTACGTCCAAGTATAACCTCAACATTTACTGGCAAAACATTGAGGGGACGGCTTATGGGCGAATGAGGGTAGTCGATCCCAACACGAAGTCTACCAAGGTTTTGTTAAGAGACTTGTACTTCGCCAATGGCATGGCTCTCTCCAAATCCGAAGACAATCTCAACTTCTGCGAGTCGATCATCGAGAGGTGCTCGAAATACTTTCTCAGAGGATTCAAGAAGGGAACGACGACAATCCTCATCGACAATCTGCCTGGCTCACCGGACAACATCGACAGCAACAATGCAATAGATACTGAACCGCCATAATTGGGAACTGTGATGCGCTCATTGACTTTATCTTGACGGTTCCCATCTTGAAACAGATCTTGGCTTGCAACGCCAACCATTTCTACGTGCTTACTCACTATCCATACATGGCTAGGTTCTTGGAGGTTGATGAGTCCGGCAAGTCTCTTCAGGTGTACGAAGACCCTTCTGGAAAGGTTGTTGGCTTCGCATCAACCGCGGTGCCACATGATGGATACGTCTACGTTGATGGCTTGCAGATGATTTCGTTGGCCTCATCAAGTTACGATGAAGAACGGCCGTGACTTTCAGCTGCAAAATTTTACTGCTGCATTGTAGCAAGTGACTCGAAGACCTTGCTAGGGCAACAGCTTAGAATCCGTACCCAGACAATTCTCCACAGTGGAAAGTGTACATCAACGGTCAAGGAAAGCAGAATCTCTCCAGATACAAAGAATCACTGATCGAGCTAATTGTTGTCCATGCAAAGATTACCGCGTAATCTCCGCTATTAGATAAGTACAACTTACCAAAACGAAAAGGGAGGGAAAGCACGAACCAATTGCACAAAATCCAAAATTCCGCAGAAGAAATGTACCATCAGTCACTGCTGCAGTAATTTTACCTCATACGCCTTACAATCTGTCCAAGTGAAAGCTACACTTCAATAGTCATAAAGAACCTGCGCTACACCACAATCGTCATCATCTTAATTCACAAACTCCGATTATCACAGCTCCTCTCCTTCACGAACATCCACCCAACTAACTCAACGCAGGTATGTAGTCGAAGCCACAACCCTAATCAGAAACAGCAAGCGCTCATGGCCTTAAACCTCGAAACCAAGCTTGCCCTGTCCGCGACACGGCGAAATCCATATCTGTTGAACCCATCTTTCACATCCTCAATCCAGCTCGCATTCATTTGAGTGTCTACATCCTATCCACATTGGTGCTCATCTGAGAGCACGGAAGGTTCCATCCAAACTCTGCGAGTAGCTTGCAGCTTTATGGGAAATCATTCGTTTTCTAGGCGTTGTGTGCTTCGTCAAGTGACGTTGTGATCAACTATTTCATCCACACTTGGCAGCAGGATTGCAACTGATCCCATTCTCGGAGCGCGTTGTAATTCTGCGGCTTTCGTCTGGGCTGGGTGTGCGATTGAACCACAGCCAAAACCCCAAACCCCACGTTTTTTTCCTCTGATTTTCGATTGCTCAGAGTCCGTTTTTGCAGTCATGGACACCGTGCTACATGTGTCCGTGTCATCGCCTTACTCTACCATTGCAGCTCATCGCCACAGCTCCGCGAAGAGGTCCAATTCTTTCTCCCATTTTTCTCATTATCGGTCTCTTATCTTGAACTGCTGAGTTTGACACAGAAGCTATCGTTTGTGCTCTAATTTGAGTCTTGTGGAGTCTTTTGGCCGCTACACTGCCTACTGGTTTCGGGCTTGGTGAACTTGGTTGAGCTGAAATCTTTTTTGTTTCTGTTTTTCTGAGAATTTCTAGAACTCCGTTTTAACCATTCTGTAGATGTACTTTGGGACCATTGTGACAGTTAAGCGTACAAGCTTCTTGCTTGACACTCGAATTGCTCTTAAGAAAAATATTGAGAGTAGCTTATTTTTATGTCTTCCCCTTGTCTTCATAGACCGTTCCAGGTATCGGGCCGGTCCTGTCGGATTTCCTTCAAGCTCCGAGGCCTGAACTCCTCAACCGTCGCTTGTGCCTTTCACATAGTCCCGGATGAGTACTCTTCTTTCGGTTAGTGAGGGTTTAAGGAACTCGCATTTTCGTCATGTAATCTTGAACTTATCCTTACCGCATTACATCCTCTCAAGATAAAGGACAGTCGCAACACATTATTTCTGGATTTTGGAGATATCAGGGTTGCCTAGCGTCTGAGGTTGAGATTACATGCGTGGTGTTTGGGATTGGCCAAGTTTTCATTTGGAAACCTCATTTTTTTGTTTGAGTCGCAGGTCGGATTCCTGAGTCGTTACGCGTGGTCATGGCTCGTTATCTCAAGTGCTAATCTGGGTGCATAAATTTATTAGTTCTCTCTCAATGAGGTTTCAGCAGTGGAACGAAGCACTTGTTGTTGATGAAATTGGTTCTCGTCCAGGTTGGTACCATCGTCATCAACAGCTTGCTTGGTAAGCAGGAGGGGTTCAGCTGGAGCCTCTCTTCAATCTCATAATGACGTCTTTTCCGCGTTTGCCCCTCAGCAGGCCGAAAAACTTTCTCGAAGCCGTCACACTCCAATATCTTCTACAGCAGTCTCTGCGTTTGAACCATCACGTAAGTATTTCTTTTAGGATGTGGATCGTTCCTATGCCGGCTTTGGTTGCGATTCCTCGTTCCACTTGTGTCATCTCAATCTGGGTCTTCCCTGTCGTAGAACTTGGATATCATATTGTTGTGTTGTCATATTGTTACGAAATTATCCATGTTCTACTGTGGTTCTGAGGGCCTCAAATCTTTCACAGCGGGAGACTCTCAAGGAAACCTTGGGGAAGATGGAGAATCTTTGGACTGGAGACAAGCTGCGCTTGTGGTAGCTGGTGCAGTAGCGGGTCTTAGCACTGGGACTATCCCGGCACTTTCTGCTGGAGATGGAGGGGGTTTCGGTGGATTCATCTCTGGCGGAGGTGGCGGAGGCGGAGGTGGAGGAGGTTGGAGGTTCTGGCTGGAGAATATCGCTTGGGCAGATGCAAGAAAGGATGAAGAAGGTGCTGATGCTTTTGATTCCCACGGGCTACAAGTTGGCCGTACAGTGCCCGTTAGTAAGCTTAACCCTTCTAAGAGATACAAGGTTGCAGAGGTGGTGCTTATTGACAAGCGCACGAATCAGCCTGTTAATGTCAAAGATGCGTTTTACGAGCTTGTTACCTTGCGAGCTGGTGGAGTTGCTACGAAAGCTCAATTGGAGGCAGAAGTGGAGAATCTGATGAATTGTGGGATGTTTCAAAGTGTGGAGATGGATGGGGTGACCAACCTTGATGGAAGCCTGAAAATGCAAATTTCTTTTACTGAGAGCCAATGGCAACCTGCAGACTCGTTTAGATGTGTGAATGTAGGATTGTTATCCCAAAGCAAGGGTCCTGAGGGTGATGAGAAAATGACGGATCAACAACGAGAAGAACTTGCAAAGTCGCAGGAAGAGGAGTACAAGAACAGACTTAGACAAGCTCGCCCTTGCATGCTCCCTAAGAGTGTGGAGGTAAGATACTTGTCTCAAAGATGTTGCGGTTAACACGTGTCCACTGTTCCAATTAATTGGACCTCACCTCTTTATTTGAAATCATCAAAGACTTCAATTATGAGCTTTTTGTCTCTTTCTAACTCATGCTGTGCTTTCAGCGTGAGATTTCTAGCTGGCTACGTGGAGAGACCCGCGTGACTGCCCGCATGCTGCAGCGCATTCGAGACCGTGTGCAGAAGTGGTACCATGATGAAGGGTACGCTTGTGCTCAGGTGGTCAACTTTGGAAACTTGAACACAAATGAGGTTGTTTGTGAAGTAGTGGAAGGTGATATTACCAAGCTACAAATACAATTTCAGGACAAAATGGGCTTCCCCTCTGTAGGTCGAACACAAGAAGTCATTATTAAGCGAGAATTGCCTGATCAAGTAAGTGCACAAACTTTCTAGTCGCTCGAATGAAGTCCACAAACTTCTACTTCAGCAGTCGGTACGCACTTGACTTTTAAAATCGTCATCACCTGTTTTCAGAAATTGCATTTACTTTCCTATCTTAGTTCGTCCTGGCGAGTTGATATTTGTGTTGAAGTTTTTGCAAGCCAGACATGAACATCTGCGGGTTCTTTAAGTGGGGAGCATTGATGTGCAGTTGAAAGCAGGTAATATTTTCAATATCGAAGCTGGTAAGAAGGCACTGAGAAATGTCAATGCTCTAGCTTTGTTTTCAAACATTGAAGTCAACCCACGCCCTGATGAAGATAACGACGGCGGTATCGTGGTTGAGGTAAAGTTGAAGGAATTAGAGCAGAAGACGGCTGAAGTCAGCACCGAGTGGAGTATTGTGCCTGGCAATAACGGACGACCTGTTCTGGTACAGAAACTTTTCTGCATTTCTCGAGTTTTGGTTGAGTAAATATGGATTTCATTTCATAGTAACAAAGCTTGTGGACCTTTGACTATTTTTATCTTATTCCAGTGCTTAATACACTACTCATAAATTCATTTTATGTTGTTTAAACTGTCGGAAGCGATTATTTTTATTGGACCAATCATCTTCCATCCACCTATTTAGAATATAATTACCCATTGACATCACATTTTTACACTCCTATATCTCAATGGCATATATCCAGGCAAAGTCGTGTTTTGTTCAACAACAGTAAAGGTTCATGAATGTAGTAGTTGCAGAATTCTGTCTGTTTGAGTTCCGGTTCCTGATTCCCTTTTGATTTGAGGTTGTAACCTCTGCCTGAGTCGAGTTCTATCTGAAGTTGGAAATGAGCTCTCTAGTCGTAACATTGACTGTCTAGGTGATGATCTATCTATTTGGATTTGTCCAGCTCACAATATGACTTAAAGTGTTTTGGTGTTGAAATTTTTTGCAGTCCACTATTCAGCCTGCTGGGAGTGTGACATTTGAACATCGTAATCTACAAGGGTTGAACCGCTCCATTCTTGGTGTTGTGACTTCCAACAACCTCTTCAATCCTCAGGTGCTTTGAGAATTTATGTTATGGTAATGCTAATTACTAATATCCTTCTCAGATACGTGTGAGTCAGCAGTTAGGTTTTGGCTTGCTTCCTCTCCTGTTGGTTGAATACAAAACAGGACATTGACTTTTATCTTCTGGCTTTCTTATTTCAGGACGACCTTGGATTTAAAGCAGAGTATGTTCATCCATGTGTTGATGGGGTCAATAATCCTCGTAACCGCACATTTCGGGCCAGCTGCTTTAATAGCCGGAAACTTAGTGCTGTTTTTACGGGAGGCCCTGGGGTGGAGGATGTTCCATCAGTGTGGGTAGACCGTGCCGGCTTCAAAGCAAATCTGACTGAGGTCAGTTCCGATTTTTGTTATATTCATTTCATCTACAGTCTTCTCACTTTGTATTGTCGAAGGACATTTTAATGGGATCTTTTTTTAAGGGAACACTTATTTGTAGGGATGACAACTTTTTTCCAGCGCATTTAATCTAAAATACGCGTGCATTCTAAATTTTTGAGAAGTATTTTGAAAGTCGAGCATTTACTTAGATCAATCTTTTTGCGCCGGGTCTCTTGCAGTGTTTCACCCGGCAGAGTAAGTTCACCTATGGCCTAGTGTTGGAAGAAGTAACAACAAGAGACGAGACCAGTTCTATATGTGTTCATGGCGCTCGTACCTTACCAAGTGGGGCTCTTACCAGTGATGGTCCCCCAACTACACATAGCGACACAGGCATTGACAGGGTGGCATTTTTGCAAGCTAATTTAACTCATGATAATACTCAATTTGTGAACGGAACACCTATCGGTGATCGGCATATTTTTCAGGCACGTATTTCTATTTTATTTCAACTCAACTCAATATATGTTGGAAATTGAGCTCTAAGATGAGTAGTTAGTGTAATGCAAATGGAGTCATAAACAACACTCCTAGAAAGGTGTACAAGCTCACAGATGCTGGCCTACTTAAGCCCTTGTACTCATTCATTTTGCTTCTCACTCCAGGTGGATCAAGGCCTTGGGATTGGCAGTAAGAACCCCATTTTCAACCGGCATCAATTGACAGTGACCAAGTTCATTCAACTGCAACCAGAAGATAAGTTAGACCCTGAGAAGCCCCCTCTAGTCGGAGTTATTCATGGCAGATATGGAGGTTGTTTGGGGGACTTGGCAAGCTATGATGCTTTTACTCTTGGTGGTCCTTATTCTGTGCGTGGATACACCATGGGTGAACTTGGTGCCGCCCGAAACTTCCTCGAGGTAAAGTGTTGTACAACTTGCAACTTGTTATCCTCAGACATTTTGTAGGAACCATTGTGTCTAAGCATCCGTGGGGGTATCTCTTATTTCCACTTCCTGCTTAACCTGGAAAAATAAGCAGGAATACTTCATATTCACTTTATGCGTAATGTGCTGTCAAGTGTACCTGATCTTTCAGTGCTTTTTTTCGACGGTTACTGACTCTACTTTCCTCCAGATGGCTCTGGAATTGCGAGTACCCGTGAAGAAGACTCATGCCTATTGTTTTGCTGAGTATGGAACTGATCTTGGGAGCTCGAAGGATGTTCGTGGCAACCCAACTGAATTTTTCAGACGTGCAGGAAAGGGGGCATCGTATGGTGTGGGTGTGAAACTGGGATCTATCAGGACTGAGTATGCCAGGGATTGTAACACTGACACAGGTGCAATCTTTGTTCGATTTGGGGAGCGGTTTTAAGTTCAGGGGTTGACACTGTTGAACTTATATAGGTCATATTTTATCCTGCATTCATGATTTGATGATCATGTAAGATATAAGGAACTTCATCTGGAGTTGGACAAGATGTTCATTCAAGTTTTAGCCATTTGGACATATGCACCTTTACAATGGTTTAGAGTGCATAATCTGACGGTGGTTTCGGCTCATTTAGCCCAGAGCTTTGTAGCCTTTTGTTAGCATGGAGAGGCATCTAATTTTTCCCGTCAATGTTCCTTTCTCGCTGGAGCTCACATTAGTTGCATAGTGTCCATTTCACTAATTTAGATATTCAATCTTGAGATAATGTAGCAAAATAGGACTTGTGGGAAAGTGTCGAAGCTAAAGATGAAGCTCCATTTCAGAAGAAATCGTTTGATCATTACACTAGTTGGAAACATCTACACAATACAGAGTTTGGCAACTTTTTATTTCACATTGCATGTTCTTCAATTCCATGCTGTAAGAAATGATGTTAAAGTACATAGGAAATGTGACATAACTTTTGGATATCATATTCCAGACATGACCTAAAATGATTCAATTAGAATTATTTGATTCTTTTGATTGAAGTAGAGTAGCAAATATTATGGTGACATTAACAACACTCTATATATATATATATATATATATATATATAATAGAACATTGTGTATCTAAAATAGCAAAGTTAATGTACATATGTAGTAGATCATAACATAATTGGTCATCTTAGATATTGAAACAATGTACAGATATATATATATATATATATATATATATATATAATTAAACAACCATCTCTACCATAATATTAGAACAAAATAACATGTTTATTTCCCTTACATCATATATTGAACAAAAGATCAATTTGATAGATTCAAAATTACCAACTCAATGTACTGATTTTTTTATTTTATTTTAAATTTATTGAAAAAAAAAAAAAAAAAAAAAAAAAATCTGTAAGGACAATTGGGTGTATTAGAGGTCAATCCCCCACCTTAACTCGTGTCCAAGTACACCAAAACTTGAAGCTTTAAGCTCATACTCAATCGTGTTATTGCATTGCCAGTAAGTTCCTGGATTTATCTCCCTTGCTCTAGCATAGGTCCACCAGCATTGAAGTTCCATCTGCTATCAGTATCACCAGGATACCTTATTCTGAATTTCTTTTTAATGATGAAAATGGATGCTGTGTGTGCCAATTAATAGGTTGCATCTGATTTGCTAATTGTGCGGTGCAGAGTGGCCAGGAAACGAACTCCACACTTGCACACTGCATTTAGTTTCTGGAGAAATAGAACAACCACTGCATGCGAAAAAATTACGAGGGTATAGGAATGACCATGAGAGCAACTTGAGCAGTATGGTCACCTTGATTACATACGAGGGGCTTAGAAAGTGGAACACTGTCAAATGATCGCCAGAAAGAGAAAGAAGAACAAACATTACACTCGGAGGGATCCCGATAGTCATTGGCTGCTTCAAACTGCAATGTGCTCTCAGGAGATGTACGGCTTAGTTTGTCAGGTTTCCTGTGAATACACAACTGAGAAGGATCTTGGTCTTTATGAATACTTGATCAATGGATAACCACCATGCAGCCTTTCGAAGTGGACTTTCTGCTGTGATCTTCGCTTCAGTTGTTTGAGTAGCAGATTTGCTGCACAGTTGCAAGGGAGGAGTCTAACGCCCAGAACATCTTATCATGCAAATAGTGCTAAGGTCAAGTGATTGAATGAAACACACAGTGAGCCACACTAAGTCTCACCAGACGTGCGGCACCTGTTTCCTTGCGCATTCTCACATTTAAAGATACTGCCTATCTCTCAAAGAAAACTTCTTTTTTGTGTATTTCATGTAAATTGTTTAGTTCATTCTTTACAGATTTAGGTGCCTGGTAAATAAGCCTCAATTTCATTAGATATGATGTGTGACTTCGAATCTTCGAAGACTTCGAAGACTTCGTTGTACACGCATCACAGAAAAAGCGTGGCTGAACAGTCGAAATGTTTCTTCATAGCTCAACTACTACTGCCGCCAAGGATCCATATTAATGTAACGATTGGCTCCGAATGCGATTTGCTTTTAGAAACAAAGCAATCAGTTCTCATTCCTGTGGGGATAGGACTCACGTAACCATTGTCTTAACCTAAGGATTAATGTTTTCGCATACCGGCTCCATAGTGTTGAGCATCACCATGGTTGAGAATTCAACAGAGAATCTGCAAACTGAAGCCAGGATGGGTGAAAAAGGAAAGAAGATTGCGCTCTCTGTGACGTAGCCACTCTGTGGTCAGCAAAACATGCGTTTGACATTTGATATGAACATCAAACCACTCTTAAGAAGTGTTTCTAAGCTCAATCCTTTCAAAACATTCTCACGTGCGTTGAGCGTTTCCTAACACAAATTCTCATCCGTGGAGCTCTTCCACCTGCAGTAAGCTAGAACAGAAAAGAGGACAGACTTCTAAGACTAAAATGGTTCTGAATGAATGGTATCAATACCTCTATCAAACGACGCCGAAGTAACCATGCTTCATCACAATCTGAGATCATCAGAAGCAAGAGGCAATAAAATTCTGTAAATCACTAAAACATAATAAAAAAAAGCCGAATTCCACCACGTCAATGTGGCAATTGATGCACTACAATCAGGACTTCCAAAGTGCGGCTGCAACGAGAAAGTGAAGCAGCAGATGGAAACCGCAATTCAGCTCTCGGAATGTGCAAGCAAGTGATAAACGAATGAAGCCGATCATCGAAGCTTTTAAGTGAACGCCGCCAGCGCCATTGATATCCTGAGCAGGAAACGTCCAATGGACACAAAGTTGTGATCCTTCCAGGGTAACCACTCACCACAACGCCGCAGTTTCTTCGGGATCTCAAGCAATCAACAGACCAATATCAAGCTGTTTAATTAGCACGCGGAAGTTGGAATCTGGTCGTACTGTCCTCCTCCCATCCAAGCCCTTGAATGAATGCCCCATTGCCACATCCATCCCAACTTCGCAGCAATGGGGACACTTATCCATCCCACTGAAGTTGGCTCCACCGTCGGATGGATTCCATTGAAAGTTTAGCGTCTCCGATCCATGGCCACAGAGTGCCCAGGCCCTTCGCCACTACCCACCTCGCAATTGCTATTCTTCATTTCCCTGGTTCCACCAGTTCTACGCTCTCCACACCATAGTTGCTGGATTTGAGAGTTGGGTTCTGTATAGCTCGCGATTTTGTACAGGGGTTGAGTTTTCACGAGTGCGGGAATGGCGATGGCGTTGAGAGAGGTCGGGTGCGCGGCACAGCTGCCCGCTACTGTCACCTCGTCGGCCACGGCGTCGAGCTCGAGCTCACCCTGCGTGGTGGGCATGGCTGTGCGGTGTCTTCCCGTCGCGCGTGGCCTCAGAATCGGTGCATCTAGGACGAAATTGTCGTTATCCGCCCCATCGCACGGCGCTTCTCGGTCGCAGAGGAGAGGAATAGTCTGCGAAGCCCAGGAAACTGTCACTGGTGGTATCTTCAATCTGCTTTAACCCAGCTTGAATTTCGCTTATGTTTCGCGCATCGCTCCGTATGCGAACTTCGTGCCCGTGGAAATTCGTTTACGTTCAATTCCTTTGCATCAAACAATTTGGTTTGTGCAGCTCTGGAGTAGGGCATTTTCTTGGTAGCGCATTTTGCATTGTGGGTCGATTGTAGAGGTCTTCCTGCTTGGTGCTTGTTTGTTCACTCTTGTGACACTAGATCGTTCTCGGCGCACTGACGTGCTTCTACATGTCACATTTAGTTCTTTGTAAGAGGTTGGTATCTGAGATATCTCTCCCATAGGTTTTTTCATGCGTAATTAATGGATGATTCTGTCTTAACATCTTTTAATACGCTTCTGAAGAATCTGTAAGGCGAGTTGTGATCGATTTTGTGCTCTTGGTTTTACGTAGCCATCGGCTTGTCTGTTTGAGCGATACAAATTTTAATACTTTGTTAAAATCATTAGTTAGGTGTAGTATTTCCAGAGGAGAAGCTCGCAAAGATGCCTCGCTGTAACTCACGTTTTTAGAATTTCTTTTTATTTCCAAGATCTTTTCTTGTGTGGGTTGATAATTTGTCATTGTTCAGGTGTTAGGAGTCGTCCGTAAGGTTTCTTGGTATGCTTTATCAAGTGTTTTTCACGCATCACACGTAACTCTCAATGTTAGAGCCCTATTTTAGAAGCACCTTTACGCTTACCTAACAAAATAAAGAATGGTCAGCTGGCTAAATACATCTTTATCTGCGTATCTAGTGTTCTAGAGATAGTCTTGTTTTCTCCCGGACCTACTGCTAAGATCCTAAAATCGTTGCGAACTTCCTATAAGAAACTTGATGGTGCCGCATTCCTGCTCCCTGTGTCCTTTTCACTGTTCTTACCATTATAACCCTATCCCTCCTGTGCCTTGTATCCCCAGTGAATTGCTTGTTCTTCGACTCGCTGATTTAAATCTGTATCTCACTCTGCTCGTATTTGTCCATCTATCAGTCGCAGGTGTTGTGAACGAAGAAACCTGGAAGGAACTTGTTCTAGAAAGCACAATCCCCGTACTGGTAGACTTCTGGGCACCTTGGTGTGGACCTTGCCGCATGATCGCCCCTCTGATCGATGAGCTAGCGAAGCAGTACGCTGGCAAGATCAAGTGCTTGAAACTCAACACAGATGAGAGCCCAGGGATCGCCACTGAGTATGGGATCCGCTCCATCCCTACAGTGATGCTGTTCAAAAACGGAGAGAAGAAGGACACCGTCATCGGTGCTGTGCCCAAGTCGACATTGGCCACAACCGTAGAGAAGTACATTACACTTTAGACAAGCTCCAGTTTGGGGGAAGTTCGGGATGGATCTGGGGGATAGAGACTGGTTTAAGAACTGTGGCGTTTTGTCGATATAGAAACTTGTGGTATATTCTTGTTGTCATAGAATCAGTCGACTCTTCAACACACCTCTGGAATCCTCTACTTATGGTCACCACTTGAATCGGTACATTGCGGCATTGCATCAACGTCTGCTCCATGCCTTCGCTGCCGATTGTGTGATCGACGATGGCTGAGACTCTACTAGGTGCTTTTCTTGTATTATGTTCAGATTTTGCGATGTAAAGAGCAGCGATTCCTCTCAATCCTATGCAAATGTCGTGCTACTAACCCACATGTGCACCAGATTTTTTTCCAAATTTGCTGTTTGTGGGTGATTATTCTCCAATGTCCTCCATGTCTTAGCCAATTATCGTAGGTTTTGTTTTTATTCAGCACATTGGTTTTTTATTTATTGGTTGAACTTAACTAATTCTCTTACACTGTACAACAATTCAGGATGGGAATTCGTGATATTTGTGAATGTTTCACTGTTTGCATGTGTAATCATTGAATTGTCGATTACAACAAACACAATTTTAGATTGTATTTTTTTGGTTAATTGTGAGAAATTAATTGGTAACTGGTCACCTAGGTTAGCTGCACTTTTGAAATAGGGTCTTTGTATTCATAATAGAGGAGCATTCATAAATGAAAAACACAATTGGAATAGTGAATTTAGTTATTCTTTAGATTAGATTTTCATTTACGAAAAACTATATATTCCAAAATCACTTTGAATATATACATTCTAAATTCACTAAAAATATAGTATACTAAAAAATAATTTGAATTAGATTTTTTCTGAAATTTAGAAATTCGTAATAGAATCTAAGTCATAGAGACTTGGAAGATTTACAAACTATTCTATGTCAAAATTAGCAATGAATATAGACACTAAATATTCATTAAGACTATATATATATATATATATATATATATAAGTGGGTATTTTATTGTTTGTATTATCTAGTCTTTTATCTTTTATTTATTATTTATTATTTATTAAGAGTTATAAATGTTATTATAGTTTTAAATAATAGTGGACTAAAATTCGTTTTATATCTATTGTAAAATCCTTGTTGTATACAACAATGAAAAGAATATAGAAAATACTATGGCTAGAAGCATTAGAGCTTTGATTAAGTAAAGAATGTTATGTTTAACTTAATTTTAATTTATAGTTAAATAGATAAATAAATAAATTTGAAACACCATCTTTCTTAATTATATTTCAATCATAATATTTGCTATAACTTATATCAATTGTCCAAGAATTTTAGTTTAAAATGTAATATATTAAAATTTGGTAAATAAATCATTTATTTATTACAATGTTTTGCAAGAATTCTTTGGCCTTCTAATCTTAGATTAATATAGAAGTAAGTTAAATAGTCTTTGACTGATTATTTTTATTGCTTATGATATGTCTTGCTTTTTGGAAACCTACGGCCTTTATTATACATGATTTACTTTATTGGTGGTCTTAAAGTATATTAATTTGCAACTAAAACAATTAATAAAAAGTATGGATAAAAATTAATTTTAGGAATATAAATTAAAGTAAGAAAACTTAAGTGTCATATTAAATAGAATTACAAATCAATTTTGTATATATTTAGATTGGAGGATTTGGTTTTTAAAGTAAAATTTGATATTTTTTAATATTGAAAAGATATAATAATGCAAATATTATTATTATGAGCATCAAATTATATATATATATATATATATATATATATATATATAATAATAAAAAAATAAAAAAATCTAATTTACCTTGTATCATATATATATATATATATATATATATATATATATATATATATATATGTGTGTGTGTGTGTGTGTGTGTGTGTGTATATGTGTATGCGTTTAAAATATTATCCTTTTAGAAATCAATAGTTAAATTAATATCTTTGAAACTTATGAAAAATAATATAATATTGGTATAAAGTTGGTCTTTAATGTTGTAATAATGTTAATAAATTTAAAAACTTCAAATATATATATATATATATTATTTTAAAATATTCAATAAGAAAAAGTAAAAATATTATTTATATTAAATTAATCATATTATTGAACTTTTTTATAATAATTTATATTTAAAATAATTTTATTATAATTATATATAATTCTAATTTTAATTATATATAATCTATATATATTATAATAAAATTTTATTTTATTAAATAATTTATTTTTTAGAAAAAATAAAATATGCAATATTTTATATATATATATATATATATATACATTTACATATAAATATAAGAATGTTAAATTGACACCACTAGTTATTAATTTGATCTATCTTTAATTAAAATCACTAAAAAATAGATCATTACCAAATTAAACTAATATGGATATAAATCAAAAATTAAAAAATATGTTGTTAAAGTACACTTTGTTATTATAAATATCATTAGTAATTGATTGGAACAATTATGGTTGATATGGGTATAAAAATAGTACAATTATAAAAACATGACCAATAAAACACTTCAAAATTGATGGCTACAATAACAATAATAATATATTGTTATGTGTTAATAATGTTCATGTTACCTAATTCATTGTTGCTCTAAATTTGTGCAATCTTCTTCCATCTTGTTCACTTTAAAAATATTGATTTTGCAATTCTCTACTACAATATATTTTATCTAGAGAGGAAGGGAAGGACAATGACCACTTTGAAATTAGTCCATTTCAAAGTAAAAAATTCACTTAATATGGACCTTCTATCAAAGAAGCATAAATCAATTTATACATGCCTAAGATTATATAGTTTGTTGACATCACTTTGAAAATGGTCACATTTTCTTTAAGTGTCACAGAGGTTGCACTTATAGTGGATTTGATGCAAACTTACTTTGTCATTATAGTTTAGCCACGAGACTAACAAGCTCCTTATTTAATTTGTATGCACATTATTTATATGTAAATAAATGTTGATACTTATTGATTCAAAATACAAGTTATAATCATAGTCTATTTGTGTTCTTGGCGGAACATTCTATTGCTTGTCACCTCCAATTTATACAAAAGACATTAATTACTCAGATGTAGAGATAGCTCAAACAAGTGTTATCATTGCATTATACTAAAAAGATCTTATAAGTTATGTAGTTGCATGCTCTATCTATAATAAATAGCAATGTCTTCATCAAATTGATCTTCATGGTCATTTGTTTATTTTTATTTTCATTAAAAAAAATCTTTGTGACATTGCATATTAATATGCATAAAAATATAATAGGACAAACAAGGTATTTATTTTTTTCTCATCTTAGATGTATACAACTTGCAAAAAGGTATTTATACAACATAGTTATAGATTGCACATATGAAACAAATAGCTTTAGAATGTCCATGTTAGATATTGTAGGTGTTACAAATTCAACACACCCTTCACAATTGTAATTGCATTTCTCAAAGAAGAAATACAATCATTCTTATATTAGATATTAATGCAACTTGTTTTACTATATAGAGCACTACAACTCATCAACATTGGTACTGATAAAGACTTGGCACTAATAAATGCCATTGAAGATTTTTTTTACATCCAAGGTTTTACTTTGTACTTTGTACATTCAAAAAAATATATTTGATAATTGCAAGAATTTTTTTTTATTTAAAGAAGATGGTGGTTGATCTAACTTTCTAGCAAAATGAATAGAGGTGATGAGTTCTTCTTTAAAAGAGGTTTTTGACATGAAATGGATGAAATATTACACTAAGTTTTTTTTTGCACTTATTAATGAAGCTATTGCATATCTTCAAAAAATTTAGATTCCTTCCAAAGAATGATTTGTAAAATTGTGGACAAATGGTACTTTCTACATTAGTTGCATAACCACATTATATGTAGAGGGGCAATATTTTACCTTGAAGTTGTACGTGAAAGTCTCTACTAAAGATCTCTGAGATATAAATATTTTTTTATCTTAATTTTTTAAAATATAATCAAAGTAATTAAGACATAAGAAAGCTTTGAGCATATATGTGTGTGCTACTATCATAACATTATTTGTTTTAGAGTGTTGTTATGATGATGACAATGCATGCTCTAAATGTTGTATATTCAAGCAATTTTAGTTTGTTATAACTCTTTTAGATATTAATAATTTTCCATGGTAAAGTCTTAATGGTTAATCATTTCTATACTCAATACCACTTTGTGAATTTGCCACTTTTAATGGCTTAGTCTAGTCCAAAAAGAATTGTTGTTGCCATTAAATTAGTCTTTTTTTAAAGAAATTGGTCAGACACATAAGTTTTTGTATCCTACCAATACAAGAAGGTACATAAGATGCTCTTGGAGTTAGGAATAATTACCATGGATTTAAAATATCCAACAATAAGCCACCCAAAAAGTTATTAGCATGGCTCAAAAAATAGGTCAAATCTACACTCTATATAATGTTTTTCTTCACAATTTGAAAATTTCATAGGCACAAGTGCAAAAGTATGCTATTGCAAAAATTTCAATTACATTGAGCATAAATTTTGCATTGGCCTTTCTTGTTGTATTTATACTTTATAATCTATCATTGCTATATTACCAACTTACTTAAATTTATTACCAATTGACTTAAGTTAATAGTAGAGATATTACTTCAAATTGATTATATTTTAAATTTCTAATGATTTTTTAGCTAAGTAATTTAAATATAAGATAAATATAGAATATTATTCTAACAAAATAATATAATGTGATTTTTACTTTTGTACTAATAGAAGCTCATATATTTAAGCAAATTAATATGATTTGTGCCTATAGAAATTATCTTGACTTCCTCAACTTAACACCACATTACTTGATATGTGTAATCATTGACAAAAACGTCTTAGCATAAATAAAAACACCAACAATTACATTTAAAATATTCTCTACATCCATGTCTATAGTCATGGCATCCAATGCCAAAAGTATGTGCACTCTACCATCTATAAAATCTACTAGGGCTTTTATGTAGTATGCAAAAAGAATCAACATAATGCTTAATCAATATTATTAGCAATACCTAGCAATATACTTTTGTAACCTATATAAACCATTTTTGCTTCACTTTCTTTAATTTATTATTATCATAATATTTTTAAAATATATACTTCAAAAAATGATAAGAACATAAAAATTCACAGAAAGTGTCAACATTTTAATAGAAGGTTTAGATGTCTTAGCAAGATCAACCTCATATTGCTCAATTTACAAGTAAATTGTAACACCTGCCAAATAAATTTTAGAAAGAAAGAACACCTACATAAGTATAGATGACATATTTTATATTATTTATTTAATATTTTTTAAATAATAAAATAAAATAAGATGTATTTAAAAAAAATTGAAAATGATTAAAAAGAAGTCTTTCAAACTCACAAATTTGGTCTTTATAGGTGAACTTTTCACATGGTGAAGGATTGTTTCTACTTACAAAGCCATATAGACTATGCTTTATAAGGGCATGTTTGGTTCCTCCCACATAGATGCATGCACTTATAGCATTGTCTATTTAGTTAATTTTCACAAGTCTTTTTATTGACACAATTTTCTTTGTTTAGACACCTTGCAAAATATTGTCCTCAAACTTATCAATTGTATTAGCATTGACATATATATCACCTACCACAACATTGTATATGGCCAAAGTTCCAATACTACTTGGCCATTAAAAATTATGAATATTGTGAGTATAGAAGAAAAGTGAACTCAAGACTCTGCAAAGACATACTTTCAAATAAACTTACATTATGATATGGTAGATAGTGAGAGCAACTAGAATCTTAGAGAAGATCTTGAAATCTTGCATCTCACATTAACTATGTTATTCTCACTCAATTATATTAGAAATGATTTTTTTTATTCTTCTATATACTTAAAATTAGGATTTAGGATGAAGAATGCAAGAAAAACAGGAAAAAAATTAGGGCTCTGAAATCCTCACCACTTCTCTTCTATCTTTTCATCCAACTAAACCTCAAACTTTGCAGTCACGTTGAATTGACTAAGTTGTGGAAATTATGGATATAAATTGAGTTGTAGAAATCAAGATGAAATTATTTTGGCTATATTCTTGACATCATAGTAAAATTACTTAAAGTGAGTCATTGACATCAATGCCTGCAATGATGTTCTAATACTCTTCGAATTCATATAAAATTCTTCATACACTTTTATATATATTCTTGAATTGATATCATGTGCAACTTGGCTCAATGTTAGTTTTGAGACTTAAGTCTTTCTTGACATGTATTAGGTTTTATTAGTGAATTTGTATTCTTCTTTCTCTTGCATGGCTTATGTTGAAGCTTTTGATTGTCTTGTTATTATTAAATTTGAACTTTTTTGCACCATTATTCTTCCTCCACCTCCCATGCTTAGTCTTATGGATATAATTCTTGAACATAGAATTTAGTGTTTGGATTGAATCTTATAATGTATATATCCAACAATTTGTAGAGTTAATATTAAATTGTTAGTTTTGATTTGTAATCTATATTGAATTTATTAGAATTTAAGAGTCAATAGATGTGGTTGATTGGGGTTAGAGATTGCAAGAACATGTGATTTGTTGTGATGTTTTGTATAGACATTAGACATATGAAGCATGTTTTTAGATTCATCTATATCCAATGGTTGGATTGTAGATCAATGGTCGATCACACAAAGCTCAACCTAAGCTCAAATTTGATCTAATTTAGAACTTGCAACAAATCTTGGGTACCACAAAAAAAAAAAAAAAAAAAAAAAAAAAAAATTGTAGCAACTAAGCTTTGTTGTGGCATGCACTAGCCTCCTACCATGTTAGCAAGTCTACCACAACCTATGGAAAATATACCTACTCGCAATACACAATGCATCAGAGTACATAGTCATAACATTGAAGGAGTGATTTGATTCATTGGTTAACAATCATTTGTACAACTAGTAGTACAAGATGCACAAATATATTTATATACTAATTCTTTTGTAGTTATTTCTTATCTCAAAATTATTTAGTGAAGAAGAATCATACATAGTTTGGAGTGATAGATAGTCCTCCACCTTATCCTAAGAAGAAGCATGCTTACCCTAAATATGGTTGCAAAGTTGGTAGTAACTTTAGTAAAACATCCAAAGATGAGTGCCTAAAATTATTCCAATTGATCTTAAAATGATGTTTATAGTAACAAAGTACACCTTGACAATCTATTTCCATATTTTCATTCAAATGTATTGATATAATTTGATGATGATCTACTTTTTGGTATTTTTGACAATGGGTAAGAAAAATTAACAACTAATGGGGTCAATTTAACATTCCTCTATACATATTTTTTAAAATTAAGTGACTTCATCAAAGATATCATAATATCAATTTTATTTAGAATTATAACAATAAACTACAATATATAAGAATGAATGATAACACAACTAAGATAGTATAACAAAAAATAAGTTTGTAGAATTCCTTTCTAAAAGAAAAATACTTCTTAAAATATACCAACTTCATATTTTATCCTAGGGAACTACTTTATTTATAACATTAAATGATTCGGCATAAGTTTAAATATTATTTATCATAATAATGTTGTATTTATTGTTTTTTTGTTTTAAAAACATTAGAAACCCAATAAACACATCTATTAAAGATTTTACATTGCAAACAAAAACCTGAATCCCATCTGATCGGAAAAGTCTGATAAGTATAATCGCTAACTCCATCACTTCTAAAAACCAAAAATGAGAAACAAAACCACAGGTCCAACTTTAAATAAATCAACAATAAACTACAGTCTATAAATACAAAACACAAAGATACACGAAAACACCATCCAAAAATTATAAACACAAGCAATTACTTAAAAATTCTGACAGTAGAAGACTCTATGATTAAAATCAAACCCTCAACGGATGGTCAAAACATGACGAGAAAAATCGACATATGTTGTAAATGATATTTCGAAAATGTACAACAATGATCAAATGTGTTGTGTAGCTCTCAAAAAATGTGGGAAAGAAGTGAAACATGAGGCAGTGAGAGGACCCCAACGCTAACCTGCAAAGTACCAGCCATACAGTAGTTCAAGACCTGGAAACCTAAGTAATTTGCACTTGAGACTTCAAGTAAAAACATCAAAATAGATACACGGATTGTTGCCGCAAAATTAAAGCCAACAAAAAGTGGGTTAAGCTGTAGCATAACAGCCTTAAAATCTAGCAACTGGATATAACCTTTCTCCAACACTGTACAAGCTACTTCAACAGAGCAAATATGTACCCATAGACAAAAAGGGAGGTTATCTAGACGATTGTTGTTTCTCTAATATGAATCTCAGTGTGATGCTAACATTTCTCAACTTCACGCCTGAAAGCAGACGTTACAGTTGGCACAGAAGTACCCACAAAGAATTGAAGTGATCACTTGTTGAGAAACTTGTAAAGATATGTCTGTCTCAACTTTCAGACATATAAATGTCTGAAAGTTTCACCTACACCATATATCCCGCCACCTATGATGCCTATCTAGAGGCTAATAATTGAGGTTGAAACCTTCATTAAGGTATCACAACATCAAATTGCTAAGAGCAGACTCGAAGAAAGTAGACAACTAGGACAGAGGTTAAGTACATTACTCCCACGGTTATGAACGTGAATCTATCTTCCTGCTCCCGACCAGTGATCAAAAATGTCGTGTATATAAGACAGTAGCAAGTTGCCAACATTGACTATGTCCTCGTGCGTATTCAAGTCGAACGTTTTTTTTGAGTTTCTCGTGCGGCAAGTACAAAAAACATGGGGCATACTACCTATTAGTATGAGGGTTCTACTTCGATGAAAACCAATGTAAATTATATTCAATAACAGATGAACACTACCACTACCAAACAATCGAGACACCTACAAAAGAAAAAGGAAATAAAAGAAAAAGGAAAAAAATCACCCGTTAAGGACCTTACACGGATCTAGTTGGCCACTGAAGTAACTCGATGGCACAGCCGAAATTTCTTGACGAGCTTTCCATTCCTCCCCTGGTTTCAATGTGATCGGCTTCTCCACAGCCGCTGCCTCTAAACACAACATGTGCTTGTACTCATCGTCACCAAAGTCTGCCATAGCTTTGGCTTTCTTCTCCCAGGGATTCCACACCACTGCATCTGGAAGACCCTCCTTCTTAAGTACAAAAGTCCGTTTCTTCTCATGGTCTATAACGGCTATCTTCGTAGGAGTCCCCATGTAAATGCGATCTACTTCAGAATCAAAAGTGATCGCATCTCCCTGTTCTGTTAATCTTTCCTTATCCCGCAAATTATCGAGGAAATCTAACGTCTCGAGCCCCTCTATACGGACCTCGCTGATGTCTGAGACGGACAGGTATGTGTGCAGCGCGAAGGTGAAAGTGAAAGGCTTGTTATCCGTATTTCGAACTCGAATAATTGAGGTGAGCTCACCGTGGAACCCCAGCATCACTCTCTGGTAGAGCTCGAAGTTGTGAGGCCAGATCTTTAACTCATCGTCCGCCGGCTTCAGAACTAGATCAATATAGGGCTTGTTGGGGCCAGTGCCTGCGAAAGGAGGTGGAGGAGGCGGATTCGGGTCAACAGTCCACATCCGATTTCTGGCAAATCCATGCTGTTCCAGAGCACCAAATCCACCAAACTGAGGAAAACAAACTGGGATACCACCGCGAATTGCCTTTGGAGGTCTAAATATAGCCTTGGAGCTCAAGAAAAGCATCTCCTCCCCTTTCTCATTTTTCCATGACGTCACGTGCCCTCCGTAAAGATGAATTTGTGCGGTTGCACCCCCGGGCTCACGCAGCAGGACTTTCTCCATGCCCGTGGCTCCATCCTTGACAAACTCTACCATCCTCAAGTCAGATAAGTAAGCACCTCAACAAACCTGGTAACCAGGCCTCTCTTGATCAGATCGTCACTAGCGAAGTATCAACTGCAAATCCCAATCCCAAATAATTTTGATGTATGTGTTATGCGAGGTGGACGAAAGTGAGTAACATCTCTTGAGTTGACAACACTAGAATGGTAGTGGCAACCGAAATTCAGGCAGAAGTAGAAAGGCACAATATACTTAAAATATTCGAGGAATGGCTGCGCGAGGGAAATAGAAGTATCAACGCAGTCGAAGCCGTCAATCGGCATACATTGAGCTGAAAATTCCCCAAACCAGCGAAACCGTAAATCCTACAGAAGAATATAGCTTAGGATCTTTAATTGAACCATAGCCAGATCTGCCAAATGAACAAGAATGTGAATGTCAGGCCTGCAACAGGAAGCTACAAAGAAAAACTAATTCCCTACCTGAAGTATGAGCATGTCAATCCACCACCAGCATATGAAGGTTGCGAAAACATTAATTACCATAGAAAAGAGAGGCGGCCTAAACACCTCGAATCAGCGTGAATCATGTGCACAATGCCAAAAAAATGACGACACAGAATTCGTTGTTTCTGTACATCCGCGCTCATTCACTGATACAAAAAGCGTCTTATAGCGAAGAGAAGAGCTCCATCGATAACTAAGAACTGAAGACAGATTCCAAACAATGCAACTAGAAACTACCAATGGATGTAGTTCGATGCAGCGCATAGGATCGAACACCCTGCAGCTATCACCATACAGCTGCAAACTCCGCGCAACCGCATGGTGCAGCCGCAACTGCTCCCAAATGTTTCTAACTCCACTAAGTGACTACAAAGATTTTTTTATAAAATACCGAAAAACTGCAAAACTCCAAATAAAAAACACACTCCAATAAAAGAAAAAGAAAAAAACTCGCAGCGAGCCTCAAACGCATGAGAATGAGGTCCTCCACACCACACATCGTAAGCCATCGCAGCACAACCAGCCCGCCACTCTGACGAAGGGCCGCACGAGCCAAGAAGCAAAAACAAGACACGAAACAGAAACAGAGGACCCGCACAAATTTCTAGACCGAGCAAACCGACCGCACGCGAGAGCTGCTAAATAGTGGCTGGAATGAAGCCGAATCCGGTTTCGGATTTACCTGTTCGCCACAACAAGCGCAGGGCACGTGTGAAAACGACTGGAAGCAAAACAACACAGCGAGCAAGCGAGCGAAAGCCGGCGACGGAAGATCTGAGCGAGAGAGAGAGGCTGGCTGCTGGCTTGTGCCGCGCCTTCCGCTCTCTCTTGTCCGCCTCCCTCCTCCTCCTGAAAGAGAAGCGTTGCTGCTGCTGCTGTTGCTGCTATTGCTCTGTTCCTCTACTATTCCTCTACTCCTCCCTCCCTCCCTCCCTGCCTCCACCAGCCCCCTCCTTCCTCCTTCCTCCTCCTCCTCCTTCATCAGCAGCAGCAGCAGTGGAACGAAGACCAACAACTCTACTACTACTACTACTCTTTCTCTCTCTCTCTCTCGCTCTTTCTTGCTTCTTCTCCTCCATCTCCTCTGCAGGTCTAACCGGGCCGGGTCGGGTCGCTATTGGCCAGGCCGGGGCAGACCGACGCCGTCACCCGTGCAGCCTCCTTCACGTGCGGAGCCCCGCATTCATCCGTCCTCTCCCATCCTCGTTTCATCTATTGCTCATCTCCGAATGCAGCCACTCCTACGACCACCCTGGCACTGACTGACACACGTGCTCCTCACTCGTTGGTGGTATTATCTTTTAATTACAATCTTAACCGCTGTTTGTCAAACTAGTTAGATTAATTAGTACTAATTAGGATTAGAGTTGGGTCTGGTCTGATCTGGCCTGGTCTGACGTTGTATTTGATAGACATTGAGTTGGGTTATTGTTTTTAAGCATGGGTTTCATTTACTTGTTTCAAATATTAAGAAATAGACCAGCTATTAGTTAGAAATTAACTTGGCACAAGGAAGTTGCTCTAAATATAATTGATAACATATTTTGAACGAAATGTTTAAAAAAAAAAAAAAAATTGAGTTATTCCTAAAGCTGAAAATTGGCTTGCTAAACAAATATTCAAATGTCAAGTGCACGCCATGCTACATCCAAATTCAAAATTACATAATATAATCAAATTTATTATTATTACAAAAAACTAACTTCTAACCTTTTGCTGCAACAACTTCTTTCTGTTTACATCACAAGAATGTAACTTGAAGAGCACTAATATACATTTTTTTCAAGTACCAATAGTTATAGAGTCTATAAATAACTCATCAGTTATTATTAATAAAAAATTACAAATTTCACAATGAATCGAGTTAAATATAATTTAATAAATATAAATACATATGCCATATAATGTGTTTTGAAGTTTATTATTTTATGTTAGTATCGTGAATACATATTTATCTTATTTTCTAATTAAATTATCAATAAAATTCTGGAATCTCAAAAAATGTATCCTGATTATTGTTCTGTATTTCGAAAGGTCATGTGTTTTGTAACAACCTGAATGTTAACTGGATCCAACACCAAACCTTTATTGAAGAGAAGAGAAAAATAAAATAAAAATGAAATAAAAAAAACCTGACAGGCAATGAATAAACAAACAAGAACAATGACAAGAAAGCTCTAACTCACATTTAATTCTTACTCATAATCAGTAAAACTCATATTTTAAGGGCATAAATATTATTTCTTACAGATTTTAAGAAAAATAATTGCAAATATATATGATATCATTGAATTAAATCAAGATATATTTATTTAAAAAGATACATTTATTTAAAAAGAACATTGTAATATGGCCTTTTTGTATCTAATCTAAAACGTATGCTTGGTTTCATTTTGTTCTGTAGAACATCAAATTAATGTTAAAGAAAAACTTAAATTTAAGATTAATCAATTTACTTCACGGACTACAACTGTATTTAAAAATTCACAAATACCCACACTTTTTTTATAATAATTACCAAAATTATAATAAGGAATGACATATTCTACCATAAATATTATGTGTTTCTATTAAATTATGTGTTTTCTAACAAATCAGTTTATAATATACTTCATATGTATTAATATAAGTTGCAAACTCTGAAATGAAGCTGAATAAATGCTCGTAAGTTTGTTGTATTGATAAGTTCAATGTGTTTGTTTCAATTCAAAACAAATCACATAGTTACAATTTAAATTCAAGTGGTATGAACAATAAATATTTTATGATTAGTTCACAGATTTCTTCAATTAATTTACTAACTAAATGAAAGATGATGGGTTTCCTATATTGTTTTCTTATCAAAATCATTTTATAACATGAATGCATTACATTTAAAATCCAAGAAAAAATTGACCCACTACCACCCAAGATTTTGTATTAAACTTCATTAACAAGTATGGTGGCTTTAAGTTGAAAATTAATGAGACGTTGTTAAATGACCATGTAAACACCTTCACCGCAATATTAATGAATTCATACATAATAATGGTAACAGTTCCACGTCATGCGAATTTTTTACAGTGAAACCTCAACAGTAATACAAGACAATTAAATTTTCAATTTCACAAGATTGTGCATTTTTTTCTTGATTACACAAAAAAATAAATAAATAAATAAATAAAGAGTTCAATTTTTACTAAACAATAAATTTGAAATTGGCAAGGTGTTTTTACTTTAGATCTTATATAATAATTTTCTGACAAGTCACATTTATTAAGATAATGAAATACTTAACACTACTTTATAATTAAATTTAAAAAGTTCATTTTATAATTCAATTCCGACATACTCGTGTGATTAGTCTAGTTAAATTTTTACATATACATACATTCTGCACTTATTATCATAATGTTTTACATTAGAAAAAAAATAATGGAAGAATTTTTCAAAATTGATAAAAATTTCACTCTCTTCAGATCTAATCAAAATTAGATTTTTTTTGGAAAATTATATATATATATATATATAGTGGATTAATATCTTTAATAACATGTGTACATGTGTGTATATATATACACATATAAATAAATAAATGTATATATAATTTGAAATTGTATGGTAATGTGTATTTGAAGAGTTTACATCTGTGCTTGTGCAGATATTTAAATCTTCTGCACTTTGCTAAACTTTGGATATTTGTGAATGCTGAATCAAACAGATATTTCAAAGCACCATAGTGTAAGTTTGAAAGCTTGAATTGAAATGAAGAAATGTAACTTAGTTTCATTAATAATTTTTATTTTTTTGTGTTGTCTTTTATAGAGTGTTAAATGCTTAATATTTTAATTTACAATAATTTCATACCTCATTATCAGACATTTTGAAGTTGTAGTGTCTTAAGGGTACATATCAGGGTGTGCAGTCTTATAAACCTCATGATGAATTAGTATGGATGTTTACACTATCAGGGTGATTTTTGAAGTCATTAGTTGTGAGTAATCCAAACTAACCTAATCAGTAAACTTGAATTTGGACATGAAATTCTAGAATAATTTGTCAAAACATTATTTACCTCTTTACAAAATTAAAAATTAAGAAAATTAAAAAATTCACTGACAGCATAACCATAAATCATCAATTAATAACTTGATGTCATATATATATATATATATATATATACAAAACATGCAAATAAAGTGTAAATCTTAGAGTAGAATTTAGAATAAAAGAAACAAGCAAACCAAAACAACACATTGCATGATTATGAGAGTGGTAGATAATTATATTCATTCTTTTAAAAATAAAATCAAAATCTATGTAACAATATATATATATATATATATATATATATACATTTAAAATATTGTAAAATATATGTATTTTAAAACAGTTACAAAGCGTGCTGAATCACTTAATTTAGATGCAGTGTATACAGCCTATGAACTAATTGTTTCAGTGTATCAGTTTCAAATATCACTTTGGCTTGAAATGCTCAATGGTTTGAGGAATAATTCATGGTATTATTGCCACCCTATTATTAGTGCAGCGTGGGAGTCTTAAAAACTAACCTGAAAATCAGAATGTATATTCAAGCCAAACCCATGATGGCTCCAAATGAAGTTGGCTTTACCAAATCATAATTTGACATATTTTTGCTTGTAGAATGATCTTTACAATATCCATGCTTTTACAACATCTTTAATTTTTATCTTCAATTAATTCTTATTATTATTTTAAAATAATAATAAAAATATAACAATAACAAATAATGTTATGGAGCCTATTTTTAAAATAATCACTATTTTATTCTACTTCTTGAAACAATAGAAGAATGGAGCTCAAAATTACTGAATACAAGTTAAAACATCAATAAAAACTTGCTTAGTACATTCTATGATTAAAAAAAAGATAACACAATAAAGAAATAGAAGATTATAGAATCATTTCATGCTACATGCTTCAAAATTTTATCGAGTGTATCAATTATTAAGTTAATAAATAATAGCAATGAAGTCTCATGTATCATCTATTTTATACCAATTAATAAGCTACTGATTTAGAAAGTTAAGTAAACCAATTCATATTAAACTAAGGAAAACTTGAAATAAAAAAAGTTGGGAAGGAACGAGATACAAGAAAGGGACGAGAATTTGAAGGTTACTAATGTATGTATATATATATATATATATATATGTATGTTGTGTGTTTGTGCTTACAAGTCCAACTAGGCATGTGTTTACCCTGCCACGTAGACTACCACGTCAGCATAATAGCAGACCCGGTCAGCAGCAGGGATGCCCACGTGTGCTGCATGGACATGACGCGTGGCTTTTGGCATGTCAGCAGCCATCTTCCTTTGAATCCTACGTGGCGTTCGTGGACATGACAGCCTTACACGTCATCATCTCCATGTTTTCCATTTTGTTGCATTTTCTGGTAACGAAAATTTATCAGAAAAGGATGGATGGACCTCTTTTTAGAATCATACATTTATATATATATATATATATAGATTCAGTAACACGGTTTTACACAAAAAAAAGCTTTCTGGATCGTGTTTGATGTATTAAATAACCCCATTATTTGTATTAAAATCCTTTCTCATTTTGAAGACTCAATGAATCAGTCAATCAAAGCATTGGTGTAGAAGGATTTCTTTCCATGTTACTCATAAAACTACATTGAATAGAAAAGTTGTAGGTTTATCATTATTATTATTATTATTATTATTGTTGTTATGTCTCTTAAATAGTTAATGACCATGAAGATCTGAGGATCATAACAAGGGTTTAGTTATTTTTAAAACTTTATTTTTTGTTGTTCCTTAAATGTTTTGTTACATGTCACAAACAAATATTTAGAAAACTGAATAACTAAGTGGTTCTGAGTGTTAATTACAGTATGATTTATGATTAAAAACAGGCATTTTACGATTTTTGATGGCATATTTATGAAAATATGTATGTTTTTTTTGAGTTGTGGTTGATCCTTGTTGGCACTCAACAGCAATTGACACGTTTACTTTTTACAAGTATGTATATATTATTGATTTGTATAAGCAGTGGTATGTAAAGAACTAATACTCTTTAGTTATAATATATACCTTGTTAATGTTACAAAATACGGTAATTTTTTACAATAACAATTATATGGTGTTTCAACCCTAGAGAAAGCATTACATGGCTAGTAATTTTAAATTTTGATGGGTAACATAATTCTGATTTACAGTTCTGAATTGTCACATTGGTTTTTATTTTATTTTATTTTATTTTTAAAGCTTGTTATTCAGTAACTTCATTATTTTAAATATGCTACATATTCTATTTTATTATATATGTTGCATCATATATTACACCCCTGACCTTGACCAAAATTTCTACACTGTAGTTACATGAAGTTTGGTACATGTTTTATGTTGTAGCTTCTAATGCACCTGCCAATTATTAAAGCAATGAAATATGAACTAGTAAAACAATGTATGTCCATGCAAACACGAAGAATAAGAATCTATTTAAAATCTCTGAGTAGGTATTCTCTAGTTTCAAATAACAGAGAATAAATTGTAAGGTTTTCATCAATGCATCAAGTACCAGAAAATTTATGAGATTTATTGAATCATAAAATCATTCAAATCCAACATTGTGTTTTCTACTGTGCCACTTACTTCCTTTCATTATACACTTTATTTTTATTTTTATTTATTTTCATTTTCATTTTTATCTACTTATCAATATTTTTAAATGACAAAAAGAGAAAAGAAAAAAGAAAAGATAGAGAGGAAACTTCACTCTTTTGTACCATTCAACACTTTGATTCTTCACGATGGTGTAGGTCACGAGATAATGAACTCAGATTACGAGAATTTTGATCTGATTGTTATGCATCTGAGCTAATTACCTAGCTTGTGAGATCCTGCATTGCTTCCATCGGAGTCCAGACCTGTTGCATGGATTTCAATACCGACAAAATTATTATCCTACTCGGCTTGTTCCACGAGCTAGGTTGCAAGTCTCAGGAGATCAAATCCACAGTTATGTTGAGGAAATTGGTCTAGTCCACGAGGTGCGTCATTTCACAACAAAGCCTGCAGTGTTGCGTTTCCTTACTTGATTCAGATGATGTGCTGTGCTGTATTTCTCTTGCAGTTAGGGACCTCCAAGTTGATGGATCTTGTGTTTGTGCAGTGGCTGGGATCAGTTGACGGACCCACGTTGGAGGATGAACTTGCGGTGAGCTGTGATATCGCGGTTGCCCGTAGGATACATTGCCGGAAACGTTGTGAAACGGATAGGAGCGCGATTTTTTCCGTGAATTTTTCTTCGGTGTTATGGTGTTCGCGAATAGAGCGACGTCGTGACTTGCGCTGTGCGGATATCTGCACCGACAAGCGTCACCGACAAGAGCATTTCACAGTGATAGACTGCTCTGATTTCAGTGCACGAGGGTGATCCAGGCATCGTCAACATGCTGCGAATGCCAATCCCTCCTTGTTGTTTACGCAAGCATTCGACTCACTGAATCCGTGTTGATTAAGCCCGTGCTGAACGGAATTTCACCGACCAGGCAGTACTCTCGTTTTATTATACTAAACATTTACATTGTAATCCGAAACTTAGTAGAATTGTACTGGACTCAGAACTTGTGTGGACATTGTGAGGACGTAGCATCGGATTAGATGCTGCGCTCAGTCACTTCACGATTCTCATGGTCTTCAATGCTCCAACCCATCGTGTCATATCGGCTAGGATTTAACTGCTTACACTCCTGTTTCATGTTCCAAATGCAAGGAGATGTTTCATGATGCTGCAACACGGGGATATCAGATGGGGTCTTTACTATGCGCTCAGAAGTTTTGGTGGCTTTGTAACTGGAGCTGTTCAAGTAGGCGATGTTCTCAGCAACATCACTCGACGAAAAAACTTGAGGGATCCTTGAAAATTATCATGTTAATTACTCAAGAATTGTGCGTGAACTCCCGATTGCTTGTTTTTGTACAAACCTCAACCTGATGGTTGGAAGTTAGTTTGCTTGATTCAAGCTGCTGTGTAAATAGTCTTTGTAAAAATGCAGCTTTGTGTATACATATTTATAAAAACAAAGTTGTTGAGACGTTGTTTACTGATTTGTTGTACTTCTTCTAGCCTTCTTGCACTCGACCTCCATTATCCCTTCAGCTCCTATTTCTTAGATACGAACACTTATTCTCCAATTTCATTTGTAGAGTACAAGATTCAAACATGTTTTGATAAATAAGAAAATACAACTACTACTACTACTACTAATAATAATAATCTATCTATCTATACATATATAACAATTCATGTTTTTTACGATGTATAATTACGAGTATGTATGTTTTTTTATAATCAATGCATGAAAGAAATCTGTATACACACACAAACCCAAAAACCTGTTTAATGTTAAATTAGTCATCTGTATTTGAGTATCGATTTATCAAGTTCAAAACGAGCAACACCGACAAACTATTCAAGGATGAATGTTAAAGGATATTGGATAACCAAACACTTGAGTACAGTGCATTTTTAATTTATGTTTTTCTTTTCTTTTCTTTTCTTTTCTTTTATATTATAGATAAAAATAAATTTTGTATTCTATGTTTGCATCAAGCAATCTAAACTCATGGTAATTGCATTTGAAATGTTAATAGTACCAGAATAATTACACAGCTACTTCTTAAAACATAAAAACAAAACTTACTTTGTAAAAGCATATTCTAAAACCAAGTTTATTATCAAGCATCTTTGAACTTTTCTTTGACAACACATATTTTAAAATTTCTCTTTGAGAAAATAAGATTGTAATAACTTGAAAAAGTCATGCAGATGTGGTGATTTATTCTATTTGATATCAGGAATTAAGATTTACATTTTGCTTCATTTTGCTTTTACAAAGAAAACCTGTTGAGGCTCCCAGCCATGTTGTTAGATCAATCAACGGCCTATTTCTCCATATTCGAATTAGTCAGATTACTTATTTAAAATCAGAATATAAACAAAATTGAACTCAGCCAGATTTTTGATACTATTAATTAATAATTGGAGCATTGCATATGAACTCGAACCTCTGAACACCATTCATCCACTCGACGTTTCAAACAACATTCATCAAATTCCATCCTCCAAACGACATCCATCCATATAATCTCATCCACACAAAATTTTGGACAATAACTTTTTCATTTTTATGAATGAAGCTTTGAAGCAACATGAAATAATTTTATCTCATCACACATACTCCTATTTTACCTCTGACTTCTTCTTCTTCTTTACTTATTCATTTATTTATTTACTTTTTGAAGATGCCTAATGAATTGGTGGCAAGTGTTACACATTTCAACTTTAAACTTTGTAGGGAATTCTTAAAAAATTAGTGACACATGTCATATGCTATCCTACTCCTTTTTTCTTTTTGGTAACGAGAACTTTAAAGTGCTAAGACTGCCGTTATCCACAAGTTGATTGAAGCCAATCCCACATTGTTAAGATAGAGATATCACTTTGAGTGCTCTTGATAAAGGGCAAATGACAAGCAAAAATGGATACCTAGGCACATATTCTGTTCGCAATGGTTGTTTATATTGAATTTTTACAAATAAATAAATAAATATATATATATATATATATATATATAAATATTAGAATCCAATGCCAAAGAATGACATTACCAAGACGGGTTTTTGGGACTGTGAGCTATAATAGTTAGAACACATGCAGAATTTGAGAAAACAAAGTGTAACAAGCATTAAAAAAAAAACAAATATATTATGACCACAAAGTAGTTACATGTACACATGCATGTACGTACATATAAACGCTAATTCACAATCATAACAATAATACAACATTTATTCAATAAAATTAGAAATAACCAGAATATTGCTTATATATATATATATATATATATATATATTTCTCTGAGCCCGATTCTAATTGAAATCTAGAAGGGAGTTAAATATTTCATTTTAACATTATGTTTCAAAACAAACATGTAAGTAGGAAGTTATGTGAAGAAAACATACAACAACTAAATAATTAAGCATGTGACCCATTTTAGCATTCATAAAAAAATAAGAATAGATATATCCTCAACAAAAAGTCAGGCTCACTAGCAATAGAAAGGTGAAAAAATCAAACGGAGACGGGTCACCGACCCAGATGGATCCGCGGTCTCCCCCAACCACCGTGAACGCGGGATTCGAATCCCGTGGACCGGGTCCCAAGCTCGTGGCCAAGAGGCCCTTATCCCTTTCTTTCCCTGCTAGGCCCGCTGTATCGAGGGCTTGCTTTGCTTGCTTCCTCAAGCGAATTGCAGACTTGAACCCTCTTCTTCTCCTCCTCGAGGCGCTTCGGGATAGCTTACCTTCGGTGCTTTCCCTCCTGATCAAGACGGGAGAGGAGGAGGAGGAAGAAGAAGAAGCTCTTGCAGAAGCTCTTGCGAGGTTTGTGAATTCATTTCTCGCGGCTTCTTCTTCCACCGCTTGTTATAGCTGGGCACTTACGGGAACGTTTTCGGCCGAGTGTGGGGTTAGAATAGGAAGTAGGGTTTAAGGATTTTTACGAGGCTTAGGGGTCAGTCGGAAGTGGAGATTGGAGCATTGGGAGCTGCTTGTTGGTCGTTTGTGAGGGTAGCGAAATGACGTCGATGGCGCACTCTCTGACGATACCCTCGGTGGGAGCCTCGCCTGTTGGCCAGTTTAATGGCAGTAGGAAAAGTAAGAAACAGGGTGCTGCGCGGGCGGCGTCCATGGGGAGACGGAATGTGGATAAGTCTGCAAGCATGTCTGTGGCTAGGTTTCAATCGTTTTCTGGAATGCGCAAGGGTTCTGTTGTGGATGCCTTGGTTGTGAAGCAAGGGAAGGATTTCAAATCTGTGGTGGCGAACTCTACCGCTGTGACTGGCCATTCTCGCCCATCCAGAGGTGTCACGACTGCCATGTTTGAGCGTTTCACTGAGAAGGCTATCAAGGTTATCATGTTGGCGCAGGAAGAAGCTAGGCGGCTTGGGCATAATTTTGTTGGCACTGAGCAAATTCTGTTGGGGCTCATCGGTGAGGGCACTGGTATTGCGGCCAAAGTGTTGAAATCCATGGGAGTGAACCTCAAGGAAGCTCGTGTGGAGGTTGAGAAGATCATCGGTCGTGGAAGTGGTTTTGTTGCTGTCGAGATCCCTTTCACGCCCAGGGCCAAGCGAGTCCTCGAGCTGTCATTGGAGGAAGCCCGGCAGCTTGGTAAGTGTTTCGAATTTCTGGCATCTGCCAATTTCGTGTTGGATTATAACCCCTGTATCATTGAAACAGTTTAAAATTTGCTATGTGTCCATAACACTGGGTTCTTGCACTCAGGTCACAATTACATCGGTACGGAGCATCTTCTTTTGGGGTTGCTGCGAGAGGGCGAGGGTGTAGCTGCTCGAGTTCTAGAGAATCTCGGGGCTGATCCTAGCAACATTCGTACTCAAGTACAACTTCCACCTTTTACGAAGTGGGACACTCCTTTCTGGTGATTGAACGACAATAAATCTGTACTCGTTACATTTGTCTGTTTGCCAACTGAGACATTGTGTGCTTGCGGCAGGTCATTCGCATGGTTGGTGAGAACACTGAAGCTGTTGGTGTGGGAGGTGGTAGCGGCAGCAGTGGCAACAAGATGCCCACCTTAGAAGAATATGGAACAAATTTGACTAAACTTGCTGAAGAGGTACTTTCTTATCCATGGGCTGCCGCTTTTGACTTAAAAGCTTTTCATGGAGCTAGGTTCAAAACCATAGCCTGCTCAATTTTTTTGTGAACTGTTTATTACAATGTTCAGGTTGTAGGAGTAGTACATTGATTGGTTTCGGAAGTTATTCACTGTAGACCAGCTTTCTTTGTGTGAGACTTCGTTTAATAATTTTTTTTCTTGGCACAGGGAAAGCTCGACCCAGTCGTAGGAAGAGTTGCACAAATCGAGCGAGTGACTCAGATCCTTGGACGTAGAACTAAGAACAACCCATGTCTGATCGGAGAACCTGGTGTTGGGAAAACTGCTGTTGCCGAGGGGTTGGCTCAGAGAATTGCATCCGGGGATGTGCCGGAAACTATCGAAGGCAAGAAGGTTATTACTCTCGACATGGGATTGTTGGTTGCTGGAACCAAGTACAGAGGAGAATTCGAGGAGAGGCTAAAGAAGTTGATGGAGGAGATCAAACAAGCAGATGATATTATCCTTGTTATTGATGAGGTTCACACGCTCATTGGTGCTGGTGCAGCCGAGGGTGCTATCGACGCTGCGAACATCTTGAAGCCTGCTCTCGCCCGTGGTGAATTGCAGGTATTTCTCGATTACATCAGTTGCGGGGTTTTGCCATTTTACAATTCAACGAGAGTCTTAATTTCTGGTGCACTTGATTTTTTTTTACTAATAGATTGTTCCATTAATATTAGGGTTTTATTGTAGATAATGGTAACTGTCTCTGTAGTTGAAATCACCTTTTTTGTGTTTAAATTCATATCGTCTGCTTGGTTTTCCTGACCTGCCACTGTCTGCAGTGCATTGGAGCAACCACTCTGGATGAGTACAGGAAGCATATTGAGAAGGATCCTGCATTGGAGCGTCGCTTCCAGCCCGTGCTGGTTCCAGAGCCTACCGTTGAGGAAACCATCGATATTCTTAAGGGATTGAGAGAGAGATATGAGATCCATCACAAATTGCGATACACAGACGAGGCCCTGGTTGCAGCAGCGCAGCTTTCCTATCAATACATCAGGTTGATGTTTATACTTGCGACGATTTGCTTCATTAGATAACGTTAAATCTGCACAGCCTTGAACGTCGGCATCAGGAGTTAAAGTATGCGAGAGTTATGCCATATCCTTCTGTGTCATGGCAGGTGGTATGGAGTCCAGGTTAATATTTGTTTGGAATGCAGCTGCTTTATGATGTGTTTTTCTTATCCTTTTTATATCTCTATGCAGCGATCGTTTCTTGCCTGACAAGGCAATTGACTTAATTGACGAGGCGGGTTCTAAAGTGAGGCTGAAACACGCTCAGCTACCCGAAGAGGCAAGGGAGCTTGATAAGCAACTGCGTGCTGTTACCAAAGAGAAAAATGAAGCTGTTCGTGGGCAAGATTTCGAGAAGGTCTGTTTTGTATACCAAACCTCCAGTCATACAATTTCGTGTTCTAAGCTTTTATTTCACAACCTTGACTTCGTCTTTTGAGTTTGTGTTTTTGTTGAGAAGTGGTTTCTCCCTTAACATGATTTTCACTCTATGTAGGCTGGAGAGTTGAGGGACAAGGAGATGGAGTTGAAGGCCCAAATTTCGGCCTTCATTGAGAAGGGTAAGGAGCAAATGAAGGCAGAAAGTGAAACTGGCGACGTTGGTCCAACCGTAGAAGAGTCTGATATCCAGCAGATAGTGGCTGCCTGGACTGGTATTCCCATGGAGAAGGTTTCGAGTGACGAGTCTGACCGTCTTTTGAAGATGGAAGATACTCTCCACACCCGAGTCATTGGTCAGGACGAAGCTGTGAAGGCCATCAGTCGTGCTATCCGTAGGGCACGTGTTGGACTGAAGAATCCCAACCGCCCTATTGCGAGTTTCATTTTCTCTGGTCCTACTGGGGTTGGAAAGTCAGAGCTTGCTAAAGCTCTTGCTTCGTACTACTTCGGTTCTGAGGAAGCTATGGTTAGGCTCGACATGTCCGAGTTTATGGAGAGGCACACCGTATCCAAGCTTATCGGTTCTCCACCCGGTTACGTTGGTTATAGTGAAGGAGGCCAGTTGACCGAAGCTGTGCGCAGGAGGCCTTACACTGTGGTTCTTTTTGATGAGATTGAGAAAGCTCATCCTGACGTTTTCAACATGATGCTTCAGATTTTAGAAGATGGGCGCTTGACCGACAGCAAGGGTCGAACTGTAGATTTTAAGAATACTCTCCTCATCATGACTTCAAATGTAGGAAGCAGTGTCATTGAGAAAGGAGGAGGCGGCATTGGTTTCCAGTTGGATTACGGTGAGAAGGATTCAAGTTACAACCGCATCAAGAGCCTTGTTAATGAGGAGTTAAAGCAATATTTCAGGCCCGAGTTTTTGAATAGACTTGATGAGATTATTGTCTTCAGGCAACTCACCAAGTTGGAAGTGAAGGAAATTGCTGATATCATGTTGAAGGAGGTCTTCGAGCGCCTGAAGAAGAAGGAAATTGACTTACAGGTCACTGAGAGATTTAGGGATCGTGTTGTTGACGAAGGCTACAGTCCTAGCTATGGTGCTCGGCCATTGAGGCGAGCGATTATGAGGCTTCTGGAAGATAGCATGGCTGAGCGCATGCTTTCTGGAGAAATTAAGGAGGGAGACTCTGCTATTATTGATGTGGATGGTGATGGTAATGTCACGGTTTTGAATGGTACCACAGGTACTTCCACAAACACAGCTGTAGACCAGGCCCCTGCCGGTATTGCCTAAACCTCGCGAAACATTGAGGTTTTTTCTTCACAGGTAGGGAGGTAGTTGTCTGGTGGGCCTAGCGGATTCAGAAACTTAGTTCTAGTCCCTTCAATTGTACCCATTAGTGTTTCTGAATATTGACGAAAGAGCGACGTCCACCTTCGCTAATTGCTACCTCCATTAACGTTAGTTCTTAAATGTCCACATTTTTGGCGCTATTTAGAATCTATTAAGGAGGTTTTGCATTTGCCATCCACAGTTTCTACATCTTGTATATTCTTGCGAATTGTTTTCAAGGTCCTGGACCTTTCTGTTGAAAGATTCGACCTTAACCAACTGGTCTGAAGCATGTGCTTTATGGTTGGTAGCGTGATGGTTGGTTGGATGCCCTCATTTAGTGTTGTATCAATGTTGCAACCTACTCCAAAATGGACTCCGACGTCCTCCAATGCACTCGGTTTTTGTTATCACTCATTGTAAAATCATCTGGTGTTACTTTAATATCATGAGTCACAATAAGAAATCACAATTGTGCTTAATAATAATCAATACTATCTAAATGCTAACAAAATGCTAAAGTTTACTAATGTGAAGGTGGATGAGAAAATCATATGATACTATGTTGATTTCCACTTTTAGATTAGGCAATTGACAATGTTTTAGTATTTTAGGGTTGTTCAGAACGAATTTTTTGTAGGTCACAACAAGTATTTGCAGCTTCTAGTTTCAAGAAGTAGAAAAAGTTTTAACTTAGATTTTTTTTTTTATGGATACAAGTTCATATGAAAATTTTGAATCATCAATTGGAAGTAATTGGATGCAACCATTCTAACAGTGGTAGATGTGACTAAGGAATTTCATATTTCCATGGATGTTTTCTACATTGTGATTGGTGTAATAATATTTCACAAATCCACCAAGTAAAAAAAGCAATCAATTTCTTGTGCATCTTAGTAATTACTCAAAGTTAAGAAAAACTGTATTCTATTACTTCAAAGGCTATTTGATCAATTCTTCTACTATAAGAATTCATTAGAAGACAAATGTTGTGTGAAAACCACCTGTCTTATTCAATAAGCAAAACCAATTTATAAATCAAAGGGTTGGTTAATCATGATATTTTTGAATTTCAATTGAGCTGGTAAGTTTTTAGATTTTAAAAAAAGAAAATTCTATTTCCATATGAAAGTATCTAGTTAAAATATATATTTATATATATATATATATATATATATTATTTCAAAGATTTCCACCATACAGATCTTATAATATTGTATCATAATTTATATTTAATTTTGTCCATTTAAGGTTTATTTGTTGGTCAGTGTATCTTGGTGTATTTGTAAGAAAGAAAAATTGGCCTTGCTATACAAGGCAACTATAATTAAGACTATTTATCAAAGGAAAACTACTCATATTTTCATTCTTTCCAACTTATTCAAAAGTATTGCAACTATGTTTTTATGTGCTTTTATTTATTTATTTATTCCTAGCCAGTATGTGTTTTTATTCCGTAGTTTAATTAATTTTTTAATAAAAGTTTCTTTGTTAGATCTAAAAATGTAACATAGACATTTGGATTTGTAAGGTCTTTTTAGTACATTTTTTATTATCAATTATAAGAAATACCAATTTTCTGGGTGTACTTCCTTTGTTGATAAGTTGATTTATTGTGGAAATGTTTTTTAAAAAACTGATTCAATAGTAAAAGAACAATAAATAAATGAATAAATAATTAATTTTATTAATTAATATTATAATATTTGTATCGTTTGAAAAAAATAAAAAAAATAAAAAAAATAGAAAATCAAAGTATGATAAGAAGTTTTGTATATGACATAATATAGCTTGTGTTATTTGAAAGAAGTTTGTGAAGATGTTATGTGCACCAAAGTTAATTTTTGAGGTGGTCTAATTTATATTTTATTATTACTGTTTAAAAAAATAACAAGAATCAAAAGTAGTAGTACCTTAAGATTGTTAAATGTTTTTGAAAAAAAATATAGAAATTGTTTGTATGGATCTATGTTTGTATTACATTGTAAATTTGATAAAAGAAAACTGGTACAGCCCTAATCCTAGGACATACATGGCAGATAAAAAAAAAAAAAAAAAAAAAAAAAAAAGGCATTTTTTTGAGCTTTGTAAGAAATTTATATATTATCCAAATGATTTTTAAAAAAATATTTTATTGATAAAAATTTATAAGCCAACAGCTTGGTTATCATTCTATCTACAATTTGTGATCCCACATTTGAGTGAATATCTGTTTTTTGATGTTCCTGCCACCTCTTGTTTTACAGTGTATGAGTCAAGGTTTGTTGACAGCATCATGAGTTGTAGCTTAAGTTGTGCACCTGTTTGATAATATAGGCCCATTGGAAGTGAGTTAACTTTGGAAACATGAGTATTTGTATGAGTTAACTTTGGAAATGTTGAGCAATCTTAATTGTTAATCTTTTGTCTTAAAAACTCTGAATGGATTGCTGTAATATTTTTAAAATAGAATACGAATGGAAGACTTAATGAACCCTAATTTGGCCCTAGATTGCTATTGGTATTGAACTTTGCAGGCTCTTAACTTGGTCTCCATTGGTTATAATTGTTTTGCTGATTGTGTGTGTAAGTGTCCTGGTTTTGGTTATTGTAACCAAAGTGGACTTCTTTGATCAAACCAAAGATTAATTAAAGCTCCATTTTTAGGTCTATTAAGAAGGAAAAAACTCTTGAAAAGCTTTTTGTTTAAAAGATGATGTTGCCAAATTGATACAAATTGCCAAATAGCAGTGGAAAATTGGTTCAGGATTAGAAGATTTGGTGAGGCATTATTTGTGTTGGAAAGTAGATACCTTAAGAAGGTAGAAGGTAAATGTAGGTAGATTTGATATTATCTTGGCAAAGCTTTTTAGAACCTTATGTGACAAAGCTTTTTAGAAGCTTCCTAGATGCATATTTGACTTTATACATGTTTATAGTTGACTGATAAGTTAGAAACTTAGCCAACAAGTTAGCCATGTGTTGTATGTGTAGATAGCTTGTGGTACATATAAGAAACTTGTCTTGTAAGTTAAGACACATGTTAGAGGTCATATAGTATGTCGCCACATAGCTACTAGTTGGATAATATATATATGGAAGCAAGAGTGAAACCTTCTTCACTCTTATCAATGCCTTTCTAGTCCATAGTCTTTTTTCAAGACTTTCTAAACTTCTTATCTTTGGCAATAGCCATTCTAATTCAATATATTACCATCTTTGAGTGAGTTTCTAGTCTTTTCAAGTGACATAAGAGTACATTGATATTTCTTTTGGACATTTATGTCCTTGATAATGATGCATATACCTCGTTTTACTCAAATACATTTGGCTTTCAAAAAAAATGTCATGTCATCTTTACTAAAGTCAAATATTTAAAAGTAGATTTTGAATTGTGATTTTACTTAGGCAATCTATCTTAGGTAGTTACTTGTTATTCATAGATCATCAACATACAAAACTAGCAATAAAGTTTTATCTTCAAACTAGATCTCATAGATCATAGTCATCTTTTCTTTTGATAAATCCTTGTTTTTGTAAAAAAATATCATTGTTCGTATAACCAAGCTTTGGTGCTTTATGAACTTTACAAACAAGATGTTCTTTGTGTAATACTTTGAAACCTTGTATTTGTGAGATTTAAAATTCTTTCTCTAGAATTTATGCAAAAACGAGGTTTTGAGATCCTTGTGAAAGAGAGCTATCAATTTTGTTTTATAGCTAATGCTCATAATAGATAAATTGTGTCATATTTAATCATGAAAACATATATATATATATATATATATATATCTTCATAATCAATTCCAATACATTGTTCAAAATTCCATACTACTAATTGCACTTTGCATTTATATAAGGTTCCATCTGTCTTAATTTTTGCTTTATAAATCCATTTGGTTGAGATAAGAACTTTTCCTTGCAGTAGTGATGTGAGTGTCCAAGTGCCGTTTTTTGTGAATAGACGTGATTTCTTCTTTCATGGTATCACACTAGGCAAGATCTCAAACAACTTTATGGAAGGTAGTAGATTCTAAAGGAAGCTCAGAAAGTTCAACATTGTCATTGTTGAATCAACATGGTTGAATTTTTGTTTGTTTATTTGCACAAACAGATGGAAGAAATTTCGCCAATGTCACGGCAAAGTTTGTGCTGATATAAGACTCCTATTGTGGCTTGGGTGGTATCTCTAAATACAAAGCAATATCATTATGGTTGTTATTAGATAGCAAAGCTTCTAAATTATTAAAAATAGAGTGATATGGGGCTTAATTAGGGATAGGCAATATTGTTGATGGTATATTATTAAGATTCAAATATAGCAATACTACCAGCTTTGGTAAAAGAAAGCCATGCATTCCTTGAGTTTTAAAGAATTTGGCACTGAATGCGACATGCTGGTTTCTATAATAAGTAGTTTTTTTTATTTTTTTTATTTTTGTGTAATTATTGTGATGCGGAAGAATTAGAGCGAGCAAGAATAAGGTGTCAATTGTAAAGGTTGTGTTAATAGGTGATGTATTGAAAAAGCTATTTTTGTCAAAGACAACGTCTTGGGTGATGAGGATTTTTCTTTGTGAAGGGATGTATATCTGATACGCCTTGGATTCAGTATCAAGACCGAGATGAATACTTCAAATAGAACTTTTGTTGAGCTTGTTTTTTTTGGATTTATCTAAGTGAAGAGATGCTATGCAGCCAAACACCAAGATGATTGTTAAATTGGGCTAATGACTCCAAAATTGTTTTGGCTGGAGTGATTCCCATGTTGGATTTGGTAGGGATGTAGTTGAAGAGGTGCACAATGGTTTGTGCAGCCTTGGTCGAAAGTGTTTTTGGTATTCAACCCCCAATTAGCATGGCTCTTCCATTGTTTAGAATGAATTAATTTTTTTGTTTAGAGACACCGTTATACTCGATGGTCCAGGCAGTAGGTAATTTTCAAATTATGCAATGGTTGTGAAGGTACTGGTCAAATTCTCAGGAGAGAAATTCTTCTTCCTTGTTTGAATGAAGGGTGAGAATCTTGTGCCATGTTTATTTTTCAAATATAACTCAAAACTGTTGAACTTGTACAGGGCCTCATCCTTGCTTTGTTACTTTACATAAAGTATATCTAGGAGTACTCCTAGATATACTTGGTCTATTTAATAAGCTAAGGTTTGGAAAATTGGTGTGTCCCAATTGGTAGTGCCACAACTGCAAGAGATGGAGCAGAGTTATCCCTTGAAAAATGTGTTGAGGCACCGGAATCAAAAATTCAATCCCTTCTTCTAGAAATGGATTTTAAACTGAGTACATCAAGTGCACCCTCAAGGAGTTCTATTAAAGAAAAATGTAATAAGTATTGGTAACTTCAAGTGTGTTGGCACTGTAATTTGAACTTAATCCTTGGGGTTGTCTATTTCAAGATGATCCTCCGATGAAAAAAACATGAGGTTGCCTAAAAATTGCTCCCGATTGTCCTTGTCCTTATAGTGTGGCTTGGAAGTGTGATGGCGTGGTCTGGGCGGGTGTTGGAGTTGGACAATACCGAGATGTGAGTCCACGTTTCTTACACTTGTTACAAATGAAGTCATCTGGGTTAATAGGTGGTCGACTGATGGCCGCGTAGGGGATAGCTTGAGAGTCGGAAGCCGTAGCTATGTTATTGCGGTTTGTAGCGGCGCTGGACCACATTACTGATTCGCATTGTAAAAGCTTCTTCTGGTTCGTCTTGACGCATAGAGATAAGATTGTCTTCATTGTGAAGCCTAGTGCTGAGTTTCTCCAGAGATGGGATATCTCTCTCATTCTGGATCTGCCAAGCAAGGCTATGGAATCTAGACGGTAATCTATTTAGGACCTTGTGAACACGAATGACGTTTGATTGTGGTTGGCCAATGGCTATGAGCTCCCGTTGTATGTCAAAAACTTTGGTAATAAAGGTGGAGACGTCCATTTGTTCTGTCATTAGGAGAGTTTCCCACTTATTTAGAACCACCATGTGTCAGCAATTGTGTTTGTTTGGTACATCGATTCGAGGCACTTCCACGCAACTCGTAGATTTGGGATGTCTTTGATATAGACACAAAGCTCGAGTTGAACAGAGAGCTGGATGTAGGATTTGGGTTTTTTCTTGCTTCCGTCTAATTGTGTTGCGAATACTGCTGGTTGATGTTACTCCGGAAGTGCTGAATGTTGCTTGAAAAACTTTGGGAGGATCTCTTGGGTCGTTGATCGCGGATGGCGAGGTCTCCTTGGATGGCAAGGTCTGCTGAGCTGGAGGTAGGTCAGCAGTAACAACGTCCCAGAGGTCGCCTCTTTTGAGGATGCTTTGCTGTGTAGATTGCCATAATCTGAAGTTGGATGGTCCAGATAACATAACGTCCCTAGATACTATGGTATCCATGGTGCCCATGCGTTCTGATCGTATGCAACAGTTACCAGGTGTGATGTGATGCAAAGAACTATTCTATTTTGCTAATCTTAACTATGGTACTGTAGTGGAGAGTCTGATCTCACACAAGAGGCAGAAAATGGTGACGACTGGGCGATCTGAAACAGAAAGAGAAAAAAAGAACAAGAATAAAAAAAAATTCTTAGTGTGGTCCCGGGGCCAAGCCCGCTCTGATACCATGAGAGAATGAGAACAAGAATATAACTGTATTACTTAACTGTGAAGAACAAGAAGAATCTCAATATATAATGAGATTACAGAGGATGGCCCGCAATGAGATGTGGGGTCCATATGTGATGAATGATGAATCTAGGTATTACTGTTAACTGAGGAGTAATATCCAACAGACACATCATGCATTGCACAGGAGTAAGGCACAGAGGAAGTACCATCATCTCCTTGTAGTGAGCCTCCAATATATCACAATTCTCACGAAGTTCCTTGTAGGTATGTAGAGGTACATATTTCACAGTGTCGATGTCTTCGGGAGTCCGAATGCCTGCTACTACATCTTCACCCGGCATACGCATTACAATGGATCTAACTCGAATCACTCAGAATTGTTCCGTAAGGCCACATTGAGCAAACAATCTGCAGTTGTTGAGGAAGTGATCCAGGTGAATCGAGACGTGTTGGTGATAATCAAAAGCATACCAGTCTATGATCCACGCCATCTGAGCTGTTAGAAATTGCGTATCAAATAATAGGCACAGCCAAGCTTGAGCACGAATCCAACCTATTCGCTGATGAGATACTCTCCATATGGTTTCTTCTCCCCGGTGCTCGGATTGCGAGTGAAGAACACACCAATACTAGAGGAAGCTCTCATGCTCCCGAACACCATTGCCAGCACATTGACAGATGTGCCGTTGAGGCCGGTGATCTGGTAGATGAGTCGGTATTTCACCGCTCGTGAACTATTCCATTATTCGTAGACAGCATTTACAGCTAGTCACAACTGCTCAAGAGATCTGTCCAAAAACATGGATCCCTTCTAAGATGCAAGAAACCATTCAAGAGATGCACAATTTTTCTGCCATTGTAACACTAACCTCCACCCGTTCTCTCGTCTCTTGTTTGGCGTTTAATTGAACCCAACTTACTAAAACACAAGAAAGACAAACTATACCAGCAGGAAAATCTTTGCTAATGGTGTTGCGGTAGACGCTTTTGTAACTCTGTACAAGCTCCTTCAGAACTTGAGTCGTTAGGTCTGTGTCATTGTACACCCACAAGCAGTTTTCAGGCTTTCCAGCTCGAGCTCTACAAGGGAGTGGCGGAGACCCATCTCCCCTACGCGCAGCAAAAATCGAAGAAGACAATTCTTCGTTAAATTTTTAGAAAACAGAGCTGTCCTCTTCTTCGTCCTGCAATTATAGCAGTCCCTCCACCTCCGTTAGAACCCCTATTTACAAACAGAATTGCAATGATAATCCACCAGTTTCCGCACAGCTAATGATAAAAGATAAACAAATCGTCAGAGAGACCCATATCCAGTCACCACATTTACTGTGCTGACATACCCGAAAGCTAATCACTCTCAGGTTACAAGTTCTCACTAATGAAGAAAACAGCTGCCGATCAATTTCTCCATATCGACGGCACTATGCCAAAGCAACCAGTGATCTTCAAAAATTTACGGCTCGATTCCCAGAACCACAGCTTCAGCACACTCAGCACTGTCGAGTCCCTGCTTCAACTGCAGCCCTCATGAACCATGAGAGGTTCATGCTTTTGGGGCTCGTTACCTTAATATCTGTCATAAAATAATAGTTGAAAGCTACAGTGTCAAAGTTCCCCAGTGTTTCAATTGATAAACCAACACCTGGAGAGGGTGTGGTCGCAGGTGCGGTGAATCATAGGCTCATTAAGGTGCAGAAGGGGTCCACAGTAGTTGAAGAAATGTTGTATTTTTTTTTTTTTTTTTTTTTTTTCTTTTGTCTTTTTGATCTCTACTAATGACGTCCTCTGACACAGGCTACAGAAAAATCGCAACGAGTTTCATGTCCTACACTCTCAAGCAAATAGCACCTACGTAGCCGATTCCTGATCCCGGAAAATAAAGCACCCACCGCTCACCGATCACGTTTTCAGGGCTGCGTCAGAATTTCGGACGGTGTCCGGCCCCACGCCATGGAGCAGTTCCAATGAAACAGTGGGGGTTGCATGATGATTGGCTACGACCGTTGTTTCCCCGAAGCGTCCATGCGCTTGGACGAGTCCACACGCAAACGACCTTTTCCCAACCGGTCAAGCGATCGGAGTTGCTTGTCTACGTCCGAGAATGGTCGCTGCGTCACGACAGCCGAGATCACGATTGTTTGCTTCTGAGCTCTCCCAGGTCTATTGATTGGGGTAGTTTTTCACGCCTTGGATCAGGATGAAGCAGCGAGCACGAGAGAGTAGTGGGTGTATATGTTGTTGGTGAGCCGCTTTCAACGAAGGTTGTTCTGACGGGAGTATTGTTCAACGAGCAACGTTGAAGACCTTGCGCCGCAATTGATGCTCTCGCGCGGTGTGGGACCCACCATGACTCCTGTTGTGCTAGACCCATGACAGGGGAGCGATTTTGTGAAGCTGGGGAGTCGGGACTCTGTGTTCTGAAGTTGTAGCTTCGTTTTGTGCTCTTGTAAAGTGTCGGAGACGCTAGAATGCAAGATTTGGTGCGTTTCGGAACTATTGAGTGTGTACGGCTCTTGATTTCGAAGCATACAAGCACCGAAAGTTGGGTTTAAATTTTATCATAGTTGACGTGAAAGAAAGAAAAGCTCAGCTGTAGTTCGAGCTTCCCAGCAACAGTAATTCCGACGGAACTGACCAATTGCTGTTTGAATACAGAGCGGTAGACTGAGATAACACTGTTATGTAACGCCTGCGCTGTTACAAGAGCAGAAATAATCAAGTTCGCTGGGAGAGTAATTTGCTTGCGATAGCAGATTAACATAACATAACCTAACAGGAATTTGACGCAGCCATCTCTAGCTTGGGGGTGCTTTTCTGGTGTCGTTGCTCACAGCAACACTCTCCACCAAATTAGTAGGTTTTTGAATAGCTGCTAGAAAATCTTCCTGCACAGTGTTTATCGTTTGAGAAGTATTTACCGTGAGTGGACGCAGTGATTTGATACTCATCGAAGGAAAGGAAGCTGGTCGCAGGGCAAGATGGGCTGTGAGTGCAGGCCCCTCGGGTTTCTCATAGGATTACCTTTCATGTTGGTGGCGTCGCTGCTCTCATTAATTGGCGTGTTGCTATGGATTATCACGTAAGTCTATCTTCGTTCTTCCCTCTTGTGCGTTGTGTTTAGGTCCCGCGTGTAAGATTATCCACTTGCTTGCAGTAAAACAAAAAAAAAAAAAAAAAAAAAAAAAAAAGTGATATCGAATTTCCGAGGAAACAACCGTGTTTATTCTAAATTTTTAAGATGTCTTACCATTTGATTCAGAGTACCCAGTTTGTTATCTTAGAAATATTGTCTACAAGAACATCAGTCAATCTTTTTGGAGGATTAGCAGAGTAAGATTTTGGTACAGAATGGTAGGAATTGGAGCAGAGCGGATTCTCAATGACGGGCTGTTGCTTCCATGGTCTGTCACTTTACACTTCTTCCTGATGACACAACCACAATCCTTTCGATTCTTATGCAGGGTTCCACTCATGTTCTGCTGCCCCTGCATAATCTGCATCACTCTACTTGCAGAGTTTGCTGTGAGCCTCATCAAAGCACCCTTCGATGTCATCACATGGTTCACCGAGCAAATACCATGCTGACTGAGCATATATATATATATATATATATATCAAGCTGTAAATACGACTTTGTCATAGCGTGCTAATTTTAGTGATATGTGCCGGCGTCAAGGTACAATTTTCAGGAATTTTGTGTCATTTCGTCACTTTCAGATGTGAATGAGAATAATCTACATGTGAAGTTGCAAGTGAAGTCATTTGCTTTTGCATGTTAATGCCTAGCTACCAGGGGGAAGTAAAGCTCTCATACTACTGTGAGGACAACGTAGCTGGAAACTGCAAATATACTCTTTGTTCATATCATGAGGTTATTGTTTCCAGTTTTGCAATGCCGTCTGTGAAGCAAGACTTGCTGGACTGAAATGTCCCAAGTGACATAGTTTGTGGTGATGGATAGAATCTGTTGCATAATATTCAAGAACCCTTTTGTTTTTTCTTTAGACAATCCAGAGTTGTAATGCTCACTTGCTCACTTCCATTGAAGAGAAAACTTGTCTAGAAGCCAGAAAAATCGAGTCTATCAGTCTATTGGAGAGTTAGGATTCATCTAACATGCTTCTCTCGAGAATTAAATTAAGGGAATGTGAGCGGCAAAAACAAATGTTGTGTGTCAACTAATCGTCTTTCTTCTCATGGTCGATTGAGTGTCTTCGCCGTCAATGCGAGATTCAAAAAAAATATTTAACTTTTTATGATCTGGTCTTTGGAAGTATCAAAAAATAAAAATGAAGAACTGCACTCGTTAATTTAGTATCGATTACAGTATCAACCTTCACTAGTTTTACTGAAGCACATGCATAAATTTTACTATCACCATACATAATTTAGGATCATGTTGTTCAAGGTTCATATAAATTAGTCATTATCCTGATTGAAAAATAAAAGTAATATTACGGCAAACATTATCTCGAAGTTACTTTGAACAGGATATCGTTTATAGAGATATATTCAATGTTTAATTAATGTGTTAATAATTCTATAACAACACCTTGGTATAATTGGAAAACAAATTACTGTAATGAATTAATGAAACTTTACTGGATTTATTCATAAAAACAATACTCCTTTTAACAAACAAAGTTCTTATAACAACTACTAAAAATTTTGAAACTAGTTTTTTGAATTTTAAGCAACAGTTAATTTTTTATTTCAAAATCCAATTTGAACTAAAAGAATCTAATCTTTTTTTAAAAGGTTTCAAAATTTTAACCAATGTATTACTTGTAAGCACATATCAGATTAGAATATAAAATAAAAATTGTTCACTCTAATTAATGAATAGATGGTAAAAATGTTAAAATTTAAACATTGTATGGATTTTTGTTCCTAGAAACCCTCTTTAAAATTCTATAGTTCAAAAAGCTTGGTAAAGAGAAACTCTCTTAGAAGCCTTGGCCTATGGATGTAGTACAAAGTGAAAAAATCATAACATTGACCAAATCATTTTTTTATTACAAATCTAAAAAAGTCAACTTATATTCTAATAATTACATGAAGTATGAAATAATTAGTATCTTACTTTTGGATGTTTCTTTTTAATTTTTTCTTGACATGGCTTTTTAAATTTTTCTAAAGAATTTTTCTTATATGAAAAAATAATTATGCATGTCATATAGAAAAATGCATTTTCCTCATCTTTCCTTCTCAAGACTTTTATACTAATTGCTTTAAATATAAAGCTATCTAAGTGACACTTCTTAATTTCAACTAATTAAAGGATTTCATTATTATAGTATTCCACCTTGCCTTCTTTATAAAGGAATTACTATACAGACACCTCCATTGCCACACATCCTTGCAAAAAAATTGATTTTTATTTTAGAAAATATTTATTTCATTTTATTTGACAATGATAAAGAATTAAAAAAAAAAACAAGAGAAAATATTTTGTGTTTTAGTTATTCGTAAAATTAACTTGAAAAATAATTGCAAGAATAGAGGAATCTAAGGTTGAAATAATATAGAATCATAGAATACAAATGGATAAGAATATATCAAATTTTGGTATTGAAGTAATAAATATTAAAAAAATACATAATTTAAGAACCACAATAAAAGAATGGTGTCCTCCTAGCCATTCTCTTTGTTAATTATGATTTGTTTTTTAAAAAACAATTTCAGTGTATACATATATATATATATATATATATATAGATATTTTTACATTAAGATTGAATTAATTTCTATTTTAATCATTAAAAAAATTATTAAAATTATATATTTGAAGTATAAAATTACATTAATTTTGATTAAAGAATAAAGTCAAAAAATAAAGCTATAATTTTTTATAATCTTTTCATACATTTTTAAAAATAAATTAATTAAAAAACCACAATATATATATATATATATATATATATATATATATATATATATATTGATATAAAAAAATTAATTTAAAAGTGTTAGTGAAAAGTTATTGATTACCAGAGATAAAAAGATTAGAGACAATGAAATGGTGTAATTTTTCTAGTAATATCAAAATCCATAAGTTTTTTATTTTTATTTTTTAAAAACAAAATATTTTAACATTTTATTATCATTTAAGCAGAAAAAAAATTGTAATATTTATTGTATCATATTGTTTGTAAGATTGATAAAAAGAAAATTTAATTTTTTTAAAAATTAAAAAAACTTAGGATTTTTCAAAATAATATCAAATTATCTTTAAATATATATATAAATAAATGAGCTAGTTTATTATAATTTTAATAAATATATATCATTCAAACAAGAAGAGAGAAAGGAAGTCTCGCTAAGGACTAAAAAAAGTGCAACAAGAAAAATGTCATCTTTTTTCCTACCATACATAATTATAACATATTCTCAAACTTACAAGTTAGCATATCTAGTTTTGGGGCATTGTTTTCTATGTTTATTATGTACTTGTAAGTTAGTAGGATAAATGTTTTTCAAACCACTTAAGCTTTAATTAAAAATAGGTTACATTACTTAAAGAATGTTTATATTTTGTCAGTTTCATTTAATTGTAATTATGTTTGACCAAAAGCAATGTAAAGACACTAGAGATAGTAAATGGTAGAGAGATGCTATTGCTAAATATTATTGGATCATGAAATAAAGTTTAGAATGTTTGTAAACTTCTCTTATATTGCAAATAAATTTAGCGACATCACAATAGTTTAGAATGCCACCTGTAGTTTTGCTCATGGAATTAACATTTTTAAACAAACAGACATGATGGGATTTTGGTTTAATTGCAAAATTAGTTAAATCCATTTTCCAGTTTTTTCTTACTTTGAAGGCCTTCCACTAGTATCACAAGATATTTCCAGTTTTTTTCTTTTTCTTTTTACCAGCTCCAGTTCTTGTTTAATTGAATTATTAGCAGTTTTCTCAGCAGTAGCCTCAAATTGCATCACACTGCAAAGAGGAAGTAATTAAGGAATGAGTACAGGACTTGGCAAAGCTTGAATTTTCATCGGCAAATTCAGGTACTACGGTTACTCGTAAAAGAATCCAAGCTCAAAACGAAAAACACACGACGGCATAACTCTTCTAAACTTGAAGAGCTGGAAATCACAACCCTCGAGCCAATAAAACCAATCATTCTTTCTTTTTTAAGTTTGAGGTAGCTTATCTCCGATATACAAATATTGACGAAGTAACTCCTGGGTGGATAACCCATTCCACATAAATCCAAAACCCAAAGGCCTACCTGATAGCTTAATAATCAATATATCCACCAGGTTTCAATACGAGTGAGAGGATGTGACCAATAATAGCAATGATGTTTAAGGCGAGACCAAATCTCGTTAAGACATGACACATTCAGAATACTCAAGTCTGAATCTGTTGGTTCATCTCACTACAGCGCACCCGCAGATCTGAGTACTGGATTGTCATGAGGGCCGTATAATGAGAATGAAACACAGCAATACCAGATATCAATGTCTTTATGGCACTAAGCTAAACCTAAACTGTATATTTTATGCATATTTGGTGTCGATTAACAATGCAAGTGTGAAACTAAGTAATTAAAAAATAACAGTAAAACTGAGAATCCCAAGAGGAAATAAGCCACAACGTCTGCCTGCTGCCCTGTCTTGTTCATCGCATCATTGCTCGAACACCTGCTGTACAGAAAGTAGCAGAAGAGGATGAAAGTGGGGTCTTCACGACACCCAATTTTATTGTAATTTCATTTGAAGATAGTCCTTTAATGAGTCAAACTACACCCACATCACAGCCATCAACGCATGATAGTTCATGCAACACGATACATTTTTAGAAGTAATATATGATTAAATGTAGAAATCCTCAGCATGACTTAGTGAAATAAGAAATCATAAACCATCAACCACTAACTGCTATAAGTGATGTGATGGGACTTACAAGATACAAGATATTGTCCCTCTCATTGACCAGCTTCAGACCTATTGTAGGTCACACCCCTCTTTGACGGTCCACAAAATCGCTGCCATCCATATCACACGCATCATAACATTGCCATTATACGGCCAGCACCGAACTACAGAACTAATTGTTTAATTAGTTAATTAAAACAAGAGAAGAAATAGAGGAATAAGAAAAAAACAAAAAATAAACAAAAACAAACAAACAAACAAAACAAAACAAAACGAACAAAAAAAAGGAATAGGGAGAAGTAGAAACAGGGAACAACTGATGGGTAAGCTGAAATAATTGCACCCATTCTACATAGGACAACTGTCAATTCATAGACGTACTCACAGTCAGATATCTTCGTACACACAATAAAAAAAGAATTTACATGTTCATTTTACTTGAAAAAATTCCACCAATCTTTGAACTGAATTATGTACGTTCAGCACTGCTTTGAATGTAGACCGACAAATGATTCTCATATTCTGATCATAATCATGAATAGGAGTAATGACATTGTCATACACAGAACATAAAACATGATGATGAAAGAGTTAAATATGAAGCAACCACTACAGTTCTCTCCTGGCCCCCAAAGAAACATGTAATCAACCACAACGACAATGCTTCAGTCAAACGGCGCACCTACGTCTGCTTGGAGTAACCGGATGATGAGGGCACTCGCTTAGTTCGGAACATCATGTAACCCACAGGGAGGACTACTCCCAGCATCATAATCACTGCTCCAACAGCATACCGCGCCGGCTCTGGTGGCGCAACCTCCAAAAGATGCCGCACCTGGTTTTAAGTTCATAAGTTTAAGCACATAACTCAGAAACCGTCCAGCAAGTACATTTTTAATGGATTAAACCGATCGCCTCTTCTTCCTGGTTTAAGAACACATACTAAGCTTGTCCAAAAAGACGTGTAGTATTACAAGCAATATCAACTCACGAAGCCATTTGACATCCATAGTTTTAAATCACCAGGAAGATCCGACCATGCTAGGTGTAGAAGCACATACAAACAGGTTGAAAACAAGTCTTCACAGAAATGAAGATCCTGTCAAGCCAGAAAAATAAAAGGCAACTTATCCAGCAGATTATATGAATGACCTGATGAAGTTCTTTGAAGATGCTGAGAGACATGAGCTAAGACATGCACGAAGCATGAATTTAAGCACCAATCTTCGACAAGGAAATTCTAAGCATTCAGAAACTTCAATCCGTACTGCCTTAAATTAGTCTATACTTAAAGAATCAGCTCAGCAATAGCATGAATCGATTGAAGACACCGGAATGAGTCTCTCTGAAAGACCTACCATACGCCTACTACACTTCCGCGGCCGTGATGTTTATAGCACCATTTAAGTAAAAAAATATAAATTTGAGGAATTTGCAAACTATGTATCAGATCAACACTCAAAGGCGATTACCCACAGTTCTTGCTAATGCAATGAGAGTGAAATTTACTTTACATACACATTGGGATAGAACACTGCTAACTTCTAAAGCAGATCGTCCACTGACGAGACTATGCTTGGCACAACTAATGCCATTCATACCTGCCTCCAATTCCTTCCCACTCTTAAATTCTTAAAAGGAAATTGATACTCGAGCAAAAGAAACTCGTGCAGAAGCAGGTAGGGAAACCCTAACACACTCCAGGGTGTTAAGGGTGATAAGCATATAGAATGTATTATGTAAAACGCTGCTCAAAGGTTGGAGTGAGCACAAGAAACGCAGGTGCGCGATGCGATCTTACGAGAGCCATTCAAAAACACAACCCCTGGACATATATCCGTATTCTTCCTCTCTTACCACCAACAAGTCGAACTATTACCACTAAGTGTTCAAGTTCCGGCTAAAATGCAAGTGGCAGTATCCAATACGATAAGAAAAGAAAAGAAAAACTAGAAGTACCTCCTGCTAAACTCAAACATAAATCATCAAGAACTCCGAAACACCAGAAATATCCACATGAAAAGTAGACAAAACACAGGAATTCAACAACGCAACTATACCACATGAATGGTAGCATAAACAGGATTCCAGAACGCAATAAAAATAACATATTATTAAGAAGCCATACCGGCATTGCTGAAAGAACGCGAAGCACTGGCACCGAAGCTCTAACGGCTACAGCTCTCACTCCCGACGCATGCAACGCAAGCAGATGTGTCACGAAGTGCAAGAGCTCTCGCTCTGTAACTTTCGAGCGAGTTTGAGGAAACCGGCCCCGACGTGAGCCTAGGGTTTCATCCACGAGCAATCCCTTTGAGGATGGAAAATCTCTGTCGAAACTCCCTGGCGCACATGCGGAAGTGGGATGGATGAAAAATTGGGCAGAGCCAGGTTTGCAATCCTCTGCAGGGCAATCGTCCTCCAATTTTGTATTATACCATTTGGGATTCTTCCGACATTGTGCTTTAGAAATGTGTGTGATTTGTATACTGTGTGGTCCAGACCCTAATTCTATCTTACAAAAAATGAAAAAGATATATATGTATATATATATATATACACACACACACATATGCGAGAGATTATTCAAATTGTTTCAGGACCTTTCTTTCTTGCTTTTTTGAGAGGGGGGTGGGGGGTTGCGTTAGATTTGTTTTGTAATTGCTGTTTCATATTGAAAGGTTTTTGTGTCAGCAAATTTCATGGTAATCTAAGAAAAACATGTAGTGGCTTCCGTATCTCAAAGCTCTCACCCTAAAAACTAAACTCATAAACTGGTGGAGCCAGGAGCTTCTTCGCTTTCTCCCGCAGTGGGATCCACTACACCACAACATTACAGCAAATTGGCATTGTAATTACAGTATTACTATACTTATGGCTCGGATCATGGCATCGGAGCGGCGTTGGATGACTTGATATTCATGGATTTCATGGCTGGAAAAGCAAAACGCAGGGCACTTCTCAGTAAATCTCTTACAAATGCAACCAATCGTGCAAGTTTTGCAAGGGGCTGACTCCCGTCACAGCGCCTTGCGCGAAGAGACCCGCCATGGCCATCATGGCAAGCCTTCCGTTCTTGATTTCTTTCACCTTCAGCTCGGCAAGAATCTCTGGGTCGCTTGAGAATCCAAGAGGATCGAACGTCTTCCCTCCGGGATAGAAAGGATCTGCCCCTTCTGGCACGAATTTGATCCTCGCGTATTCAGCGAGACCCATGAGCAGAGCTTGCACGACGATGACGGCGAACAGGCTGTGTGCGTTAATGAACCCGGGGACGCCTAGGTAGTCAATGCCAGCGTCGGAGAAGATCTGAGCTCCCGTATTGAACCAAACGGGTTCGAAGCCAGGGGTGGAGTTTGAGTTGATCAGCTCCGGGGTCAGGCAGCCGGTAATGCCAAGCATAGCCCAACGACCATTCATAAGCTCCTGAGTCCGGAGTCTGGCGTAGTTTGCTGGAAGCCTTGCGAGCTTGAATATATCGCAGCCGTAGTCCCCTGGGTACTCTCCCTTCAGATATTCGGGTACGTCTTTGGGTTTTGTGAAAGGGCCTTTCCACAATGGTCGGTTAGGTCCGTAGTATGGAGCTCGAGCATCTTGATCGGGTGCCACTGACTTCCCGTAGACCTTGTACCACTCGGCGATCCCTGTCATAGTAGCGGTGGATCCGTTGCTGGTGGACTCGGCTAATAAGGCTTCGGGCGCAGGGTCTGCACTTGGTGCCTGCAACACGATGGAAAGTGGAACTCAGATCGTCAACCGAACGACAATTTAATGTTTAACAATCTTTCGTCACACAACGTCTATGTCGCTCAATGCGCTCATTCAAGCTTCTGATCGTACTAAAGCATCGATGAAGACACTGCATGCATTCGCACAGGAACATAAGTTTACAGAACCAATGAAGAAACAGGAAACGCCAGACCCGAACCTACCTGTTGGACAGCGTTGATCACTCCCTCCAAACTCACAGTAGGCGCATCCGCGGTCCCTTCACCTTTCGACACTGCCTGGCAGGTCCATGAAGACGAAGAAATTGAAGAAGGCTTTTTTTGAAAACACTTACTGCTGCCAAATGCTCCAACTGCAGGGGCAACCACACCCTGGATCGCCATTGACGCCATCACTGAAATCGCAGTACACAGTTCCTCTAAACACGACTTCGATTGCAAGGATGCTACCGCTAAGTGGGAGCTCCGAAGTCGATGATCTCCGAATCCTACAATTGACGATCGTAGGGTTATGATTTTTTTATACGATCTCACTAGAGGACTGATCGAGAACGCTCTGTGCCATACATATCCGACTGACAAATCAGAGATTTGGATTGGGATCGCGCTCAAGGGTTCTGAAGCAGGTCTGTGATTTGCGACTGCGAGATGCGCAGGTTAGAATTCCGATTGGGACCATGACCCAATTACCCTCGGTAGGATGCGTGCGTGTGTGGGCTCAGAGAGTTCTGGTGAGCTGCAACGAGATTCCATGGGCAGTGCCCGTGAAGAACACGGATTGCATGGGTAGTGAGCTTGGTGGGGAAACAAGCGGGGTTATGGCGTCCACACTCCGTCCCCAACGCCGCACAATTCCCGCACACCAGCCCACACTGCCTCCACGCTCTTCCACAATTCGGCACTGCTATCGCTGATCACTCACTCACTGCACACAACGAACCCCCCCCCCCCGCGACGTCACCTGTATCGCCCCTATAGCCGTCTCTCTCAGCCCTACTTCCGTGCCGTGCCCGGAAATCCAATTCTGCTTTCGCCACTGCACGGTTACCGGATACTGTAGCCCTAAATGTGTGGTTTCCTTCACCGAGGTGGGAGAGCACCCATTTCCGCCATTTGGATTAGTTCTAGAACAAATGAGATCTAACTAACTTGAAATGTGTTGAGAATGTTTTAGAAAAAGAGACAAGAGTAGCTAGAAGTAATATGCACACACATGTAAAAATATACATACAAGAAGAAGTTCATTAAGTTCATTGATAGGATTATTTCTCTTATACAAAGAGAAGTGGAGAAGATAAACAGTTTCTCTCCACTACATCCAAAACATTGTAGCTACAATATTTACTATAGACTAGAATAAATAGTATGGAGAGCGCCACCTACATTTAATACTCTCAATACTCTTCGTCGCTCATTATAATATTTATATGCATAGAATTATAATCTACACTTTTTTGTAATCTTGTAAGATCAACAATTGCTGCCTCATTAAAACCTTATCTAGGAAAACCTTATTGTATTTAAGGATAAAACCATAGATAAAAGAAAAAGACTACAAGATTATCTCAAGAGTTCATTAACTTTCTTGCTCAAGAAAAGTAAGTTGCTGCATGCCAATGCCATAAGTGAGTTAGTGATGGTTGCACAAAGGTAGAGTTTTGGTGAAGAGATCAGTAAGATTATTTGCAAACTCAATTTTTTTGAACTTAAGTACTTAATTAGTAACCAAATCATGTGTATAACTAAAATACTTTGGATCAATATGCTTTGTCTTATCTCTTTTAATGAAACCAAGTTGCATTTATGCAATACAAGCGCTATTATCTTCATACAAGATAGTTAAAGAATCATCATATAAAAGTCTACAAGTTGTCAATGGATTTATTAATTAATTGCAACCAAATACATTCCTAAGATGCTTCATATAAGGCAATAATTTTTGCATGGTTGGATGAAGTTATAGTTATAGTTTGTTTCATTGATTTCCATGATATTGCAACTCCATGTCTTAAGAATACATAGCTTATTTGAGATTTAGCTGTTGCAATATTAGATTTATATCCTACATCAAAATATCCAATCAATTTTGGATCTGCAGATCGTATGTAATATAATCTCAAATCTTCAGTGTCTTTTAATAACATAGTAAATGTTTGACGCCATTTCAATATCATAGTATTGGACGTGCTTTATATCTTGCAAGAATACTAATTGCAAATGCAATATATGGTCTAGTAGATGTAGCAAAATATAAAAGTGCTCCAATCATTGCGAGTATGGATATTGTTCTTTCCATATTTCTTCATCCTCTTCACATGAACAGTATGGATCATAACCATCATGACCAAGTCCAATCATTAGTGTTGATAATTGATTAGCATCAATCATATTAAATCTCCATAAGATTCATCTAATATATATTAGTTGGTAGAGAAAAATGCTACCATTTGTAAGATGCATAATGTAAAGACCAATGCAGAAAGTTATTTTTTCTAGCATTTTCATTTTAAATTCATAGATAAGTAGATTAGTAGCTACAACACATGAAGATCTACTAGCTTAAGATCATCAATATATATAGCAATCATCACAAAACCAATTTTATCTTATTTTTTATCCCTTGATTAGTAAATCACTTATAAATTTATTTATAATTAAATAATCTCAGAGACATTGACACGACATACGTCCAGATTATTTTAGACCATATAGGATCTTGTGTAATTTAATACGATAATATTGTCCTAGAATAGGTATATTTAGAGTTCTTATTTTTAAATGATGTAGAACTTTCATATAAATATATGCATCAAGTCAACCATACAAATATGCAATTATCACATCTATGAGACACATCTCAAGAATGGCATGAACTGCCATTCCAATAATATATTAGACTGTAATTGAATCGATGACTAGAGAATATGTGGATTCGTAATCAATACCAAATCATTGGATAAATCCTTGGACAATAAGACAAGCTTTATAGTCGATTATTTAATCCTTAACATCTTGCTTATATACTAATATTATCTTATATCCCATAGGGCAAGAAGAAAGAGTGTGCACAATTAAACCAAAGACTTTTTTTTTTATACAAAGAAGCATATTTGTCTAGTACATATGTATGTAAGCAATTAATTACATGTATAAATAGGTAGAAGTAAGTAAAAGTAGGTAAGGTAAATTAATTCTATAATATTTTCTATGGAAGCTTCCTAGAGGCTTTATAGATGCTACTTTGACTTTATAGGTGTCTTTAATTGACTTTTTGGATTAGAAACATCGTCAACAAGTTGGCCATGTGCCACACATGTTGTTAGCTTGAAGACCAAACTAACTATGTGGCCCACATATAGAAAAACTTACCTTATAAGTTAAGATATGTGTCTTAAAAAGTCAACACATATTGGAGGTTCTATAGAACATCGCCATGTAGTCCCTAGTTAGATAGTATATATAGAGACAAGAGTGAAGCCTTCTTCACTCTTATCAACTCCTTTCTTGCTTCTAGCCTAGTTTCAAGGATCTCTAATTTTCTTGGCTTTTGGCAATAGCCATTACAGTTTCTTTCTTAATATACATATGAAGTTATTTCTATTTTTTCATCTTTCTTTGAAAGAAGTCTCACTTATTTATTTGTCTTTATCATGATCTTGTTCTTGACAGATTGACAAGAGTGCACTTACAATATCAGAGCTTTGTCTAATCTTAATTAAGAGTAGATTATCCCTTTCTCTTGATAAGATATAAGCATATTAGAAGTTGTGGATTATCCTCTTCTAAATTGATATTGTCCTTAGTATTTTCTTTGTTTTGAAGTCCTCTCTTTTATTTGTCTTGAGTAATATTAGACATCTTTTCTTTTCTAAGTATTATCATGGCAGAACTTGCTAAAGTAAAGAGTGGAATGGAACAAATGTAAGAGCAATTGAGGGGGTTAATACTTGTGATGCATCAACTCAATTTACCACCACAAGGACCAACAAGATTGACAGGAAGTGAAGATATAGAAATGATTGGAGCTGCTTCAACATCTGTACCAAATCATGTCCCTTCTTCTATGGTGGAACGCCCTTCTAGTGTTAGAGAACCAAGAATTGCCCTACTTGAGAAGTTTGATAGTACCAAATCAAAGTTTAGAGGATTTATCAATCAAGTATAACTTGTAATTGAACTTCAACCCCAAAGCTATCCAACTCCAAGATCGTAAGTTAGATTCATTAATACGCTTCTTTCAAGTTCAGCATCATCATGGTTTTCATCTTTTCTTGAACGACGAGATTCAATATTGGATAATCTAGAGGCTTTTTTAGTAGAGTTTTGATCCATGTATGGAGAACATGATACAATTTGTGTTGCAACCAATAAGATCCGTATTTTACGACAAGGCAATCGATCATTAACGTTGTATGCTTCATAATTTTGATAACTTGTAACTGATATCAAGTGGGATGATGTTGCACTTATTAGCCAATTTCTCTACGGATTATAATATGAGGTAAAATAATTAATGCTCAACTTACTTGATCCTCAAACATTGAGTCAAGCAATTGACTTTGCTATGAAGTGCGACAATTGTCTTTTTGAATTTCGATTTGAGAATTGTTCAAGTGGACCTCAACGTTACTATATTTCAATGGCAACACCAACATCTCTTCAATACATACATTCAAAAGTAGAGGATATGCAAATTGATGCGGTATGTTTCAAACCTCTTATTGAACAAGACAAGACTTGTCGTCGTTACAAAGGATTGTGCTTATATTGTGGAAAATCTAAGCACATTGTTCAACATTGCCCAAAGAAGCAACGCAACCATAAAATGAGGAGTACAGTGATCAAAGAAGATATCATGTCGAAAAACGAATTGGTCCAGCTACAATAGGGACCGTGCGGCTAGAACCTTGTACAACGCTTAGTAAAGGTCCTATCTTCTCCTCAAAACCTTCTCCATGTTTTACGATGAATATTATTCTAGAACCTAAACATCACAAAGCCTCTGCCTTACTAGATTTAGGAGCCTTAGCATGTTTCTTAGATGAAGAACTTGCTAAAAGATATAATATATTTTTAGCAAAGAAAATTAAACCTATTCATATAGAAGTCATACATAGTTGTTTGTTGTCTTTACGAGATGTTATTTATTAAACTCTTTTTATAGAAATAGCAACTAATGATTATAGTAGCTTTGTAATATTTAATATCATTAGATCTCTTTCTAATCGAATCATTTTAGGTTTTTATCATGGCTAAAAAAAATATAACCCTAAAATAGATTGGACTTCTTGTAGTCTTGATTTTTTTGAAAGTATAACTAAGAGCATAGTTAATCAAGTAAAAAGTCATAAATTTAGTATAACAAAACCTATATTTGTAGGTGTAAGAGCTTTTTTATATGCTACAAAAGAAAGATCACCTTGTGTCATTTATGCCACACCTGTTTCTACTGGAGGAAAGAATTCAAGTGGCATTCTAAGCCAATATCAAGATTTTTAAGTTGTATTTGAGAAAAAGAATGCGGATACTCTTCCCGAACATCATCCCTATGACTGCTCAATTGACCTTCAAGAAGGAGCACAACTGCCATTTGGACCAATCTACAATTTATCTCAAAATGAGTTGGTTGAACTCAAAAAGTATATTGAAGAGAATTTGGCTAAGAACTTCTTACTCCATTCCAAATCTCCAATAGGAGCTCCAATTTTATTTGTGAAGAAAAAAGATAGATCATTGTAGATGTGTGTTT